ACCTTATTAATAGCCCTTGATGCCAATTATAATATGACTCCTTAAGAATATCAGCTGCTAATCAGATCAGCTGTTAATCAACTTATTTTGTTTTCTTAATTAATCATATTTTTGTACGTCTCTCTGTATATTTTTTCTTTATATAACATATATATTTTATTTTAGAAGTATATCTTGTCAATTAATATGTCTAACGTGAAGTTAATTCAAAATACTTATAATAATAGATGTTGACAGCAAACATGAGAATCAGCTGATATGCAGCTGATCTTCCTGGGTGACCTTATTAATAGGCCTCGTATTAGACCAAGATCCCAATTATAAGATGATCCCTTAACAATATCAGCTGTTTATCAGATCAGCTGTTAAGTAAATATTTTTGTATTATTAAATCATAAGTTTGGACCACTGTCAATGTGTATATTTATTTATGTATATAATATAGAGACTTTTTTGAATCTCAGTTGAAGAAAGAACATTATTATGATGACAGTCATTCAATATAAATTAAAGATTACTGTCATTATGTCATAATGACTTCTTAAAGCCATGATTTAAATACATCCGATTTCTTTAATCCTAGCTACTTAAAATAATTCTTAAATTATTTAAAATATAAAAATAAGAATTATTATTTTCCTTGCTCTCTCCTATTCAATCTCGACAATGTGCTCCAATTTAAGATTGCTATATCATTTGACATTTATGTGTGTAGCTCATTCACAATAATTGATTGCTGCTATTGTGTCTGTGGGTGGCTGACCCTATCTATCTACCTATTTACATAAATGTAAACAATTGAATTACGGTTAAATTGATACTCATATTTATTATTGTTGTTGTTATTCTTGTTTTGATCTTCTACTGAGAGTAATTTTACTTTGTGTACATATTTGATAGACTACACAGCTGGCAGTCATTCTATAACCTAAAAATGTTTTTAAATGGAAAAAAATTTTAGCGCATAATTTTAATGTGCACTTAAATATGAAAGCGTTAATATTTTTTAATAATATATTAACAAAAAAATTAAGGTGATTATATTGCGGAAACGGAAATGTACCGGGGAGAGAAATAATGATACACATAATTAAATTTTCCATAATAAGGAGAAAACTATTTTTTTTTTCAAAAACATAATTATAATATTTGTTATTTGTATTTTCTCTATTACACCAATTCATGCCGTCAACCTTATCTGCATAAAAAAATACCCCAGAAGATTCTTGTAAAGGATCATAACAACAAATTATCTCTTACCATATGACAGACAGATGATATGATTGTCATGACAGGTAGACAGCCGCCACAAACATTAATGATAATCTTTATCTGCATATCAGATAAAATAAATTAGTAAACATATGTGGAGTTGACAGATCAAGATAATAATGGTAATATAATAGCTGTTTGTTGTGATGACATGAGATGCTCACATGTTTTTTGTAACTATAAATAATCTAATAAAATTAGTTTATTTGTATTTTTTTCAGAAAGATACTAAAGTTCCTTGACCCAAATACCGTAACAAATCTGAAATCTGGAGTACAATTTGTATTTTTAAAATGATAGTTAAAATAAACAATTAGAAATGTAAATATAATTTAGAGAACAGTAAGTGGAAACAAACTATTTTAATAGGGAATGAATAACTTTGGTGCCGATTTTAGCGTTTTTTTATAAAACGACAAAGTAAACAATGTAAATGTAAACCAGGAAAATCAGCTGATCAGCCATGATATTTTTTATGTCAAAGCCTATTAATAAGGTCATCCAGGAAGATCAGCTGTTTCTTAAGTTTGCTGTCAAATAACACTACTGTGAATTGATTTCATCTTACAAGCTGTTTTAATATGGAATGAAAATTTGGTACCGATTTTAGCGATTTTTTATATGAAAAGGAATACAATTTCCATAAAAAGTAGATTCTTACAGATTCGGGAACAATGTAAATGTAGACCAGGAAAATCAATTGTTCTACCATGATATTTTGTATATCAAAGCCTACTAATAAGTTCACCCATTAAAAGATCAGCTGATTCTCAAATTTGTTGTCAAATATCATTATTGTGAATTGATTTGATCATACAAGCTGTTTTGGAATGAATATTTATTGCTGATTTTAGCGATTTTTTATATGAAAACGAATACAATTTCCGAAAACAGTAGCTTCTTACAGGTTGGACAACAAAGTAAATGTATCCCAGGAAGATCAGCTGATCAACCATGATATTATGCATATCAAAGCCTATTAATAAGGTCATCCATGAAGATCAGCTGTTTCTTATGTTTGCTGTCAAATAACATTATTGTGAATAGATTTCATCTAACAAGGTCCATTAATAAGGTCATCAAGGGAGACCAGTTGGACATTACCTGTCTCTCAAATTTAGTTGTCAAGATCTATTATGAATTGACTTCCATTATGAAAACGTAAACAAAGTCCAAATTTTTGACATTAGACTTGAGAAAAACCAGTTGACTTTCGCTTACTGCTTGCACAAGATCTATAAAGTTAGGTCACCCACAAGTCAGCCATGCAATCTTTACATAATTATACGTAATATTTCTAAAGTTATGGCCTCCGAAAAAAGTTTACCTAAAAAATATGAAACCCCAAAAAATTCAATCCCTTCGAAGTTTTGCTTCATATCTCAAATTTTTGCTCAGCTACATAGACATATTTCACATTATTTTAAATGATTAAATATTTATCTTCAAAATCAAGCGACTTCACTAAAATATTCCGAATAGTTTAGAAGTTATGGCTTCCAGAACAGGGATACCTACAAAAAAAGTAATAAACCAAAAAATTGAACCTTTGCCAATTGTTGGTGATTTCTCGTATATTTGGCTAGTGACATTAACAGTTTTCACAACAATTATGAAGATGCAATATTCCTCTTTCCATATCATGCAATTTTTACTTAATTATCCCCAAAATTACAAAAGTTATGGCCTCCGAAAAAGGTTTACCTAAAAAATATGAAACCCCAAATAATTCAATCCCTTCGAAGTTTTGCTTCATATCTCAAATTTTTGCTCAGCTACATAGAAATATTTCACATTATTTTAAATGATTAAATATTTATCTTCCAAAATCAAGCGATTTCACTAAAATATTCAGAATAGTTGAGAAGTTATGGCCTCCAGAACATGAATACTAAAAAAATTAGTAAGAAACCAAAAATTCGTACACTTGCGAATTCTTGGTGATATCTCATATTTTTGGTAGTGACATTAACAGATTTCAGTGCAATTATTAAGATGATATATTCTTCTCTCCATGCATACTAAGTTTTAACTAATTATCTGTTATATTACAAAAGTTATGACTTCCGAAAAAGGTTTACCTAAAAAATATGAAACCACAAAAAATGCAATAACTTCGAAATTTTGCGTGATATCTCAAATTTTTGGTCAGTTACATAGATATATTTTTCATTATTTTAAACGATTAAATATTTATCTCTCAAAATCAAGTGATTTCGCTAAAATATTCCGGATAGTTCAGAAGTTATGACCTCTGGAACATGAATATCAAAGAATTAGCAAGAAATTAAAAATTCGAGCACTTGCGAATTTTTGCTGATTTGGCAAGTAACATTAAAAGATTTCAAACACAATTATGAAGATGCAATATTCTTCATTTCATATCATTTAATTTTTACCTAATTATTGCCAATATTTTAAAAGTTATGGCCTCCAAAAATAAAGAAAAACCAAAAATAGCCAATTTTATGTCGCAATAATTTAAATCGACAGCTGATAGAATAATCAGATGTTATTGTAGTAACAAAGGTGATCCAGGAAGATCAGCTGCTTCTCAAGTTTGCTCTCAAAATTCATTATTGTGAATTGACTTTATACTATGAAATCGTAAATAACGATTTTTGACTTTTAAACTTTAAATTTTAAAATTAGGTGACTATCTTAGACGACTATCTAACTGGACAGCTGCCTGAAACTAGAAATGTGTTTACATACTTGCAAATAAATCAACTGTTTGACTTTACATTATTTTAAAGCCTGAATAGCTAGGATTTAGTACCTCAATTTAGAGAACATGGTCTAAACGCTTTTACTAATTATTTAAATATTAAAAATTATGTTTGTATTTATTTTGCAACCTAAAATATCGCTCTACATTCTCATTAAGAATTACAACCCTGGTACTGTGATTTATATTCAGGCACAATGCTGTTATTGTGAATTATTAATCACAATGATCCCTTTATATGTTTCCCAGCCACAAAGGTAAGGTTATATCGTAATTAACATTAATTTAAACGTAGCTTGAGTAATGGGAATGAAAAATTTAATCTTTTTTATGGCCCCCTATATATTAAATATAAATTTTTGTCGCTGAATATTCACAATCTATTATTTTAAAAGACAAAAAAAGTAACAGCTGTCTATCTCAGCTAAGCTAAAAGAAAGAATATTTGCTAATGGTTTACTGTGTTCCTTTTGGTGAATAATTCCATTGAGCAAGTTCAGTTCATACGCGGGAGCAACACAACCTAGGATATTAATTGTATTTTTTATTAATATTTGAAAAATTAGGGTTTAAAATACTTGAAAGTGATTTGTCTTCAACTCGGCGGGTATTCATTAGTCAAAATTCGATTTACAGTACTCTAGTTCATTTCAACAATGTTTCATTAACCATTTTGGTTCTTTCTTCTATGCTGCAACTTTCTAAACATGACGGTAAGTGCCATAGCGTTATGCTTTACACTTTCATTCGTAAACATGACAAGTGCCATACACCATTTCCGTTTCGATTTGGTTTTTATCAGCCATTCTCTCCTTTCTCCCCATATTCGCAGTGTTCAACACCTTTCGATTAATCCCAATCGAAAGCATAATAGCTGAACAGCTGTTTATCTCAGCAAGACGATTTGCAAATGGCTCAGACGGTTCCTTTGTTGTGAATAGCTCCTGTTGAACCCCCAACGACACAACCTAGAAAATTTAGTGTAAAATTGCTTAAATTAAGATTATAGCGAAAAAATAAAATAAATTATGGCTTTTTTAGCCCGCAATTTAGTTGCCTTGACGCGTCAAGCCAGGCTTGTTGATAATTTAACACGTAAGTTTAAAATTTCCTTCACATAAATAATAAAAACTAATAACATGTGTCCGGCTTTTCAGATTCAATGAGATGTTTGAGTGTTACGCCACGATTTTGTCAACAACCCAAATTGCAGCTACCCCAAACCACAGCGGATCTGAAAGAAATTTCCAAAGAAGAACAAGCGGAATGTCAGAAAATATTCGATAAAGTAAATCAGCAATTGGCCAAAAAGGAAGAAGGTCGCCTTTTCGCTGTCGTCCATTTGTGTGGTAAACAATTTAAAGTCACGGCGGGTGATATTATTCTAGTCGAAGGCTATTGGCCACCAACAATTGGTGATGAAATTCGTTTGGAGAAGGTAATGTTGGCGGGCGCCAAAGATTTCACTTTGATTGGTGCCCCACTGCTAGAACCCGGTTTGGTAGATGTTAAGGCAACAATTATCGAGAAAACACTGACCCACACCAAAACCCATTTCAAAAAGAAGAGGAGAAAGCAATATTTACGTATCAACTTCCAACGGTCACCCAATACAATGATCCGCATTAATTCGATTGAGGTCAAACAGCAGGTGGATAAACCCACAGCACAACCCATTAATGAGAATAGAATCTTCTAAGAAGAGTTATTATAAAGTAGTTACAAAAGAAAAAAAAAACATGGAAAATAGTTGGATCTGCCGCTGTATATTGTTGTTATTATAAATGTGGAACATTTTTTTGTTTTGAATAAATATTAAAATAAGAAAAACATGGAAAGGAAGATGTTAATTTTTAAACAGGTCTGAAGTGAATCGTTAAGGGAGTCTTTATAGACGAGCTGAAAGGGAATCTTTATAGACGAGCTGAAAGGGAGTCTTTATAGACGAGCTGAAAGGGAGTCTTTATAGACGAGCTGAAAGGAAGTCTTTATAGACGAGCTGAAAGGGAGTCTTTATAGACGAGCTGAAAGGGAGTCTTTATAGACGAGCTGAAAGGGAGTCTTTATAGACGAGCTGAAAGGGAGTCTTTATAGACGAGCTGAAAGGGAGTCTTTATAGACGAGCTGAAAGGGAGTCTTTATAGACGAGCTGAAAGGGAGTCTTTATAGACGAGCTGAAAGGGAGTCTTTATAGACGAGCTGAAAGGGAGTCTTTGTAGACGAGCTGAAAGGGAGTCTTTATAGACGAGCTGAAAGGGAGTCTTTATAGACGAGCTGAAAGGGAGTCTTTATAGACGAGCTGAAAGGGAGTCTTTATAGACGAGCTGAATTGATTTTAAAAACCCACACTTATCTAGGACCTTAATTTTTTTTAAACATTTAAAAAAAATCTGATCCCAAAAAAATTAAAAAAAACCATATTACCCTAAGTATTACAATTATTTGTTTTTCTTTTTTAATTTAAAATATTTCTTCTGAACGTATCATTATTATTTGGATTTAATTTTTACTGTAAAGATATATATTTAATTAATAAATAATTAAACGATTCCATTTTCCTCTATTTAAAGTCATGTTATACCATTTTTCTACATTACGTTACGTCAGCCAATAATTGTGTGCGATACCCCTTTATGGCAACATTGTTTGTCAATTCACAATTGACACATTAGAATTATTATTTTTTATTTACATTTTTATTAAAGAATATTTATATAAATAAATAATTAAATTATGTGTTTTTTTATTTATTTAATGTTTTGTAATTAAAAGCCGAATGGTTTCCGCCCGTTATTTCAGTCATGTTATACCATTTGTTTGCGTTACGTTACGTCAGTGAATAATTGTGTGTTATTTTCCTTTGTGGCAACATTGCGTGTCAATTCACAATAATGCATTACAGTCTCAGCTGATGAAATAACAGCTGAGACCACAAAAATTAACATTATTTGGTTATGTTTATTTTAATATAATAAAATTTAATTTTAATGTTAAATTAAAATAACAGTAATAAAATTTATTCATAAAGAAATTCATACATATATACAAGTGGCAACATTGTTTACAATAAGAATTGTCAATTATTAGAATAAGAAAAAAAAGAAAAACACAAACATTTCTCACTCATATGTGTGCTTTGCTCTCTGATGACAGCAACAACAACAACAAGATAGAACGAGTTTATGCGCCGGTCTCACTTTGCCTGCCTTCACATCGCATATACTTACGATACCAAAAATTTTTCACATAACGCATTTTAGTTGCCCTCTGTGAATGTTCTGGAAACTTTATCAAGTGTGATTTCTCTGTGGTGGAGGAGCGTCGCGACAACGTCATAATCTTACTCTAAAATAGATAAAATATCAAAAAAAATTGTTTATTTTGAATTTGGTTATTTTTTTGTTCGAATTTTCCTCCTGAAAACAACGTCTTGGTAGAAAAAATGGCTGGAAAATAATGAACGATTTTGTTCATAACCTACCACCACAATTTGCAGAAGAGTGTTGTTGTTGTGTTAAAAGCGATTTGCAAGGGTATTTGGAAATTGAAGTGAGCTATATTAGTTTTTTGGCAAAAATCGTCGATGAAAAAGAAAATTCCGGAAGTGCGATTTCATTGTTGAATAATTGTGTTAATAAAAAAAATATAAATAATCGAAAAGTGGAATTTCATCAGAGTCTGCAAGAAATTTATGAGCCCACTAAAGCCAACGTCGGTAGCAACAGCAGCGTTAAGCAAAAAAATAACAATTCCGTTTTGGCCAATATTAAATGTGTACAAGTGAAAATTGTTTGGTTTGGGGAGAATAGCACCGAGAGTGCCGCCGCAAATATTTTGGTCAGCTGTGAATCGTCGTTGTTGTCGTCGCCAAAACGACCAAAGCCGCCCCAACATCAACAGCAGCATCAGCTCTTAAGAACAAAAAAGAAAAATAAACACTGCCAGTATTTCGGTGTTTTGTCATCCTCCTCACAGACATCTTCGTCGTCGTCGTCTTCGGTATCTGTCAACAGCAATAAACTACGGTACCGTATTTGCACCAGCGTTGGTCTATTCTTAGATTACTTGCGTTCTTGCAAACCCATTCAAATAATAGTGTCGGACAGTGGCTGCACCAGCAACAACAACAAGAACGGCGGTAGCCCAGTTCTTCTGGGACAAACACAATTGCGTCTGCCATCGATTCTATTGAGAAAATTTGCATTTAACATTGCAAAAGGTCATAAAAATTTTGAACATAAAAGTAAAATCTATACGCTATATCAACGGCAAAGGAACCAACAACAGCAGCCGCAAGAACATCAACATTCATCGTCTTCTCCCTTAAAGAAATCCTCGTTAAAATCGGGTGAAATACAATTACGTTTCAAAATGATGTTTGCACCACCGGCTGCCGCCACATCAGTGGCCATGCCCCTGACCACCAAACATGGTGTCCTTCATGATAAACACCATCATCATGCACACCACCATCATCACCACAACATGCACCATTCGCATATGATAGTCAGCAGTAGTGGAGGAAAAGCAAAAGTTGTCGAACAAGGTAGGTGCTAAACCTGTAGTTTTCCGTTGATCTTAAAAAAAAACAAAAAATATTTTTTTGTATTAAAAAAATGAGTAATGTTTTCTTGTTTTTACCGGCTAAATCATTGTTTATTTTTGTGTGAATTTTTCGTTTTTTTCTAACATTTTTTTATTATGCAATAAATTTATTGACAATTACCTTTTTTATCTAGTATTTTCCGTTTATTTTTTGCTTTCTGTTTACCTTTTTGTTGTTGTGGTTTTGTTTTTGTTAAATATGTATATAACAGCATATATAGTATATAGGAACAAAACGTTGCGAGTGGTTTTTGTTTTTGCTTTGAAGAATTTTTGTTATTCTGGCTCTCTTGTCAAAGAGATGATGATGATGATGTCTTTGCCTTCTCTTTGTCTTTCTCTCTTCTTTTTGTATTTGTGAAAAGGCGGCTTGAAAGAGGGTTTTTGGTACTTTTTTTTTAAAGACAGACAATTAAAGGTGTTGTTATGTAGTGTGACAATTTAATTACCGTTAAAACAAATAATTATAAAACAAAATTGTTTTTTCCTTTTATTTATTTTAAATACAATTGCGTTTTCTTTAATAATATCTGATGTTTGGCGGGCTCTCTTCTCTCACATGAACGTCAAGTGCCCGTTATTACACTACAAAGTCATGGTTGTTGAATTGCAATGCCGGTAAATTAACAAGGTGTTACACTGTAGAATGTAGAGGGAAATGTAAAGTAAATTTGTAATGGTTAACGGGAAATGCAGAAAAAAGACATGCTAAATAATTCTGTTTCGTCAAGTTTTTCCATTTCTATTTCACAGATTTTTTTTCTTTTTATTAACATCTGTTGTTTGATCGTGCTCTCGTTCTCTCACATGAACATCAAATGACGTTATTACACTACAAAGTTATGTTTAATGAATTGCAAAGCCGATAATAATTAATAATTAATTCTGTAAATATTTCGTCTATTATTTCTATTACATAATTTTTCATTCTTTTTATTAACGTCTGTTGTTTGATCGTGCTCTCGTTTTCTGACATAAACATCAAATGCCCGTTATTACACTACAAAGTCATGATTGATGAATTACAAAGCCTAACAATTTACAGGGTGTTGCACTGTAGAATGTAGAGAGAAAATGTAAAGAAAAATTTGTAATGATAAACGGAAATGTAGAAAATGGACATAATAATTATTCTGTAAATAGTTCGTCTATTATTTCTATAACACAAATTTGTTTTCTTTATTTGCCTTTTGTTTGATTGTGCTCTCTTCTCTCACATAAACATTAAATACCCGTTATTACACTACAAAGTCATGTTTGATGAATTACAAAGCCGATAAATCAACGGGGTGTTACACTGAAGTGAGCAAAGGGGGAAGTAAAGCGAATTTTTAACTTTGAACTGTTATATAGGCGGAAAAACGCTAATTAATTTAGCAAACGATTCTGTTTTCTTTGGAATCATGGTTTTTCGATGTCGTCTCCCGCGCTCTCTCATTGAAACACGTGTTATTGTTATTAAAGAACTAAACACTTGAACAGCTATAAAGCCGTCAATTCAACAGGGAGCTTTGAAGTGAGGATTATTTGACATAATATGTTGCTCTCTTTTCTCATATAAAATATGAAAGGACGCTTTTACACTACAAAATCATGTTTGTTCAATTGTAAAGCCGATAAATCAACAGGGTGTTACACTATGGGGGATAATGATGAAATGTAAAGTATATTTGTAACGGTAAAAAAGAATATAGAAGGGAAGATGAAGACTATTAATTACTTTTATAGATTATTTACTTACATTGGAGGAATATTTTTCGATCTCTCTCTCTTTGAAGTACAGAAGAGTTTAACGTTAAAACAGATTGTGAGGCATCCAATGTAGAAGCTGTCAATTTAACAGGGTGACACAAAGCCAGGATTTTTGGTGTAATCATTAAGAATTTGTGAACTATGTTGGTATATCTTACCATATGAACGAACAAATGATATTTTTTTTCTTTATGTAGAGACTGTCTGGTTATGTTGTCTTATATTTACCCCTTTCTCCGGTCTTCAGTCTACAGACGACCAGTGGCAGCACTCTAGGCGGTCTATTACACTTCATCTATGCTATGAAAATGTTTTTAGTATTTGATAAATATACCTCACAATAATATATATAGTAGACTATAATAATATATATAGTAGACATAGTTTTGCTGTGTACTAAATATAAACACCTTTCTATTGTATTAAAAATTACACGACATTTAATTTCGAAAAAAAATAAATAAAAACAAAAAAGAAAACTAGAAAGTTTAATGAACTTTTTTTCTTATCTCTTAACTATATCTCTCTATATATAATATATAGGTATATACATTTGTATATACACCATGTACAGTATTTTTCGGTTAATTGAACCTACGGTTAATTGGGCTTAAATGCACTTTACGGACACCTCTCAGATCATTTTGAAATTTTTATCATAGGTAGCCCTTCTGATGCTGATTACAACAACATACGTTTTTTCGGGGGGAAATCATTTCCCGAGTTATGGGGTTCCAAAGTTCAAAAAATACCCCACTTTTTATTAAACATATTTAAGAATACCACTCCGAAACGTTTATTTTTTATACAGCACATAGTCCTTTTGGAGCTGATTAGAACCACATAATTTTTTTTGGAGAACTTCGTACTTCCGAAAATTTGGGGTTCAAAATTTTAAAAATAAGCTTATATGGTTATTTCTTTGATTTAAGGATTTTTTCCTTTAGGGACACTCGGATTGTTCTGGATCAAGAAAAATTTGAAATTAAAAGAGAATGCTGCTCGCGTAGCCCAAATTTCCACCTGTCCATAGAAGAAAGTCCTAAATCCCCGGCCGAAGGCCGGCTATTCAGAAAAAAATGAAATTTAAAGAAAATTTTGTTCTCATAACTCAATTTGTTGTCGGATAATAAGTAAGGGTATGAAATGTAGGTTTTTATTACATTTTGATACCCCATATTTCCGGAAGTACGAAGTTGTCCCCAAAAAAAATTATGTGGTTGTAATCAGCTCCATAAGGACTATGTCCTGTAAAAAATTTAAACGTTTCGGAGTGGCATTCTTAAATATATTTAATAAAAAGTGGGCGTATTTTTTGAACTTTGGAACCCCATATCTCGGGAAGTACTGATTTCCCCCCGAAAAAATTTTTGTTGCTGTAATCAGCATCAGAAGGGCTACCTATGGTATAAATTTCAAAATTATCTGAGAGGTGTCCGTAAAGTGCATTTGTTCCGTTAATTGGTTTCCACGCTTAATTGAACCACATGATGGGTCAAAAATATTTCATTTCAAAGTAAGCGGGTTCGGATAATTGGTTCCTCGGTTAATTGAACAAAAATTTGTGCAAATTTTGATGTGCAATTAACCGAAAAATACTGTATCTGTCTGTCATTTGCTTCGGTCTTACGATCTGCAGCCCCCTTCAGAAGATTGAATATATTGTTTTATTTGTTGTTGTATATAATCTATAGTTTACGTCGTCATTAGTTTTTGTAGATGCCAAAAACAAAAAATGGTCGCCACTATCTCTACCAGAACACCAATTCTCGGTAGCTATGCCCTGCATGTATGTGTAGGAATTTTGTGTTTTCCCCCCGTTTTTTGCTTTAACACAAATTTGCACACTTCGAAAAAAGTTTCCATTCACACGACGCGCCGCAGCAGTCCTAAAGCAATGTGTAAATGAAAACAAAAAGGAAAATTGGAAATACATACAACAAAAAACAAACAAATCGAACTATTGCGACTGCAATACTTACAGATACATATGCGGAAAGAGATTTGTATAACACGTGTGGAGAATTTGTTGGTTGACATTGTATTGCTTGTAAATGGCGTTGTGATTTTTAATACAGAATTTCTGTAAAGAAACCTTTGATCTCTATACAGACCAATTGGTCTTCACAAAGACCTCTGGTCTCTATCCAGACCAATTGGTCATTATAAAGACCTCTGGTCTCTATACAGACCAATTGGTTTTTATAAAGACCTCTGGTCTCTATATAGGCCAATTTGTCTTTATAAAGACCTCTATTCTCTAATTGGCCTTTACAAATTCCTCTGGACTCTATACAACACAGATTTCAGTATAGGCCAATTGTTGGAATAACTCTGGATGTCTATACAGACCTATTTGGTCTTTATTAACAATTCTGCACAGATTGATATCTAAAAAAGAACAAAAAGTTAATACATATTCAATATATCTTCTATTCATATTTTAAATACCTTTTATAGCTCTCCATTGGTTTCTCAGACATTCAGTTGTCTTCATTTTTAATTTCTTTGCTATTTTTCACATTACTCTTCCTACCATAAAGCAAGTGCATGCACAGACACATATTTTTGTCATTGGCCTTCAAATCAGGCAATTTCCACAATGTAGCTCTGCCGTCTCCCCCATGGAGGAACACATTTTTAGCTTATCTGATTTTGCTTTCGTCAAACGAACGAAACAAAAAAAAAACATGTTGCTACTTGGCTGGCATGCACACACATGAAAGAAATCGAAATGGTTTTTATTTTTTGCATAATTCTGCCATAGGAAATAACATTACTTGTCTCCGCGCGCCGCCTCTCGTTGTTGCTGTGGTTTGACATAACCCAGCTTAAATGTAATATGAGGCGAGAAAGAATAAATTCTTCGCGCCAACCGTCCCCTCTCTCACTCTCATTGTTGTTTATGTATGGTTGACATAACCGGCTTATATGTAATCATAAGACTGTCGACAGACAATATTAAGGGGCCTTTAGACGATGTGTTTTATATTGTGATGGGGTGAGTTGGTGATTTAATTTAAATTGCCGCAACTTTTTTAAAAATTGTCGCATTTTAATGAAATAAAAAGTATTATTTCGTTTGAGATCTATATTTTTAATATTATATAACGACATGTATTTAATTATACTTTAGACTTGTAGAAATTGAGAAAAAATATTAACATACATATATTATCTTTAGGAACTAAACGAAATCTAATAGTTCCTGCAATTTATATATTTGTTTTGCATATATTTATAATACCTACGTTCCTCTGGGAAGTTAAAAAAAAATATTTTTTTAAGTACACACTTTTCTAGCAAAAAAAAAAAAAAAAAAATAAAATAAATAAAAAAATTTTAAAAAATGTTCGCTTCTTTTGAAATGTAGGGTTTAGACTAGTAAATCCACTCTATCTCAAACGTCAATTCCATTGCGTATACGTTCAATGCATTATATTTAACGTATACGCTATGGAATTGACATTTAAGATCCAATGGATTTCGTAAATCTAAACGTATCTTTAACAGCACATTAAAAATTACGCTTCTATAGGACCTTATAATATATATATATAGATTAAAATTTTCACTCTTCTCTAGACATTAAAACTAGGTTTTAAAAAATCCTAGTTTCTTTAGGAATTCAAAAAATCATAATTCTCTGACCTTGAGGAAATATTAAAAAAATCTACGATTCTCTACTTTGAACAAATATTGTCGAATGTCTAGGTCCTTGAAAATAATACTTGTAAAAAATTTATGATTCACTGATGTCTAAATATATGATTAGAAAATTTTTTACTACCCTAGGAATTTCAAAAATATTAAAAAAATTGAGTTAGTTTAGTAAAAATCTGCGCTTTTCTTTGAAATTTCTTAAATTTTGTTTTTCAATTTAACGCATTTTGTTATTTTTTAATTTTTAATTTGGAATTTTAAATTAAAAAAATATTGCCTCCAAAAAATGCCACAAATAATTTAATATTTTGCAAGGTCCATAATATTTTAATAAATGTTTAAAAAGTAGAATTTAATATAATAATCCCTAATTTCCAAACATTTCACATAATAAAAAAAGCGTTTTATTCAAAACTTTGGTGTGAAAAAGTCAAATATACTTGACAATTTTTTTTATTTACCTATGGACATTTTCTTTGAAATGTATTTTTAAGTCACCATTTGGCAAGGATATTTATTTTTTCTTATTCTCTGCTCTTGTTTTAATTATTTCAAGAATTCCTTGCCTACTCTTAAGTATGTTCCACCCAGACATTATGAAGTGTTATGCAAACAAGAAGAATAGCTAAGCAGCAACCAATTCAAACAAAGAAATTAAATTATGTCTGTCTGTCATTTTTTATTCTATACATGCGAGTACATCATATGAAGGTTAAAAGGCATACATTTGTGTATATTATAAAACCTACATAGCCTGATATATACAAAAAAATTATAATCGATAAGAAGGTAGCAGGCGTCATCAAATTTTTATATATATATATGCACAAACAAAAATTGTGTATGAAACAATCATAATTAGAAAATAATGAATACGCTAACTGTATGGTATATATAAATTCTTTTTGTTCTTTTTATTTCTATATTATATGTATATATTTGTGAAATTCTTATTTGACTGATAATTATTTAAATTCGTTCAGTGACTTATTTGTTTTTGTCTATAAGGAAATACCTATTACAATAATCAGGAAATATGCAAAAGTGTTTTGATCAACAAATTTGTGTTGTTGCCAGGCCTCATATGTTAACGTCTGATGACAATTAACCTTTGCTTTTATAAAAGAGAGAGATAAAATGTAACTTCATAAACATGCAATAAGACATAAGGAATGCATGCATTGGCTGGACTATGATAATAGATTTTTAATAATAATAATAATAATTTATTAAAGATATATATTATTTATTGGATATATTGTGTAAAGTTGCACATAAAATCGTTGTATGCCTATAAAAGTAAAGTCTAACTCTCCTTTACAAAATGTAAACAATGAAAACCAACCGTTGGTGAGAGAATGCAAATAGAGAGAGAGATAAACTGTTAATTCACTATTATGCAAGCAGGAGAGATAGGAGAATGCATTATTGGCGGGAAAATAACTCAAATGAAGGAAATTATTGTTCTAGTTCTTATTTCATTTGATTATAAAAATAATTTATTAAAAAATATAATTTATACGAAGTAATGACAAAAAATAAACTCCAACTCTCCTTTACCAATATGAACATACATTTATAGCATATGATAGAACATTTTTTTGGCGGGAAAAGGATTTCCACTGAAATAAAGGAAACGTACTTCTACTTCTTTGATATATTAAAAAAATATATGGGAAAAAGAAGAAGATTGTGGAAAACTTATTGCACTGGAATCAAATTAAATCGCGATATGAAAAAAATCACTTCCTCTTTACAAAAAAGGGAGAGAATTTGTTTTTGGCGGGTACAAGAACCCAAATGAAAGGTATTGTATTTTCAAAACCATTTTTTGGATTATTGTATTGTATTTACAGTGATTTTAAAGGGAAAATATGTTAGCAGGATATATCTTCTGTTCAGGGACCTTTAGTAAAATTTAGTACACAATATTTTTGCCATTGACACCAGCCATCTAAAATAAATAATTAGGGCAGAAATCGGCAAAATTCGAAATTAACCTCAAAAATCATTGCTAATTTATAACCCTTCATAATAATTGAAATTTTAAAGACTATACATAATACCTAAAGATTTCTTTTGTTCTGTGACCTGCAGTGAAATTAAGTGGATAATATCTTCTGCATTGACATCATGCTCCTAAAATAAAATATAATGGGCCAAATCGGCCAAATTCGAAATTAACCTCAAAAATCATTAAATTTTAACAACCCTCCATTATTACAGCGATTTTTAAGGGGAAATACGTTAGTTGGTAGTTTCTTCTGCTCAGAGATCTATAGTGAAATTTAGTGCAGAATATTTTCTGCATTGGAGTCAAGCTTCTAAAATAAAATCTAATGGGCCAAATGGACAAAATTTGAAATTAACCTCAAAAAATCAATAAATTTTAACAACCATCCATTATTACAGCGATTTTAAAGGGAAAATATGTTAGCTGGATATTTCTTCTGTTCAGAGACCTATAGTGAAATTAAATGCCGAGTATTTTTGCCATTGACACCAACCGCCTAAAATAAATTATATGGGGAAAAATCGTCAAAATTCAAAAATAACCCAAAAAATCTTTAAACTTTAAACCTTACACTGGAGATTTCCTTTGTTCAATGACCTTTAGTAAAATTAAGTACAATAAATTAAAATCCATGAAATTAATTTCTATTTTTTATTTAAATTGTATATAAAAGAATATAAAATAAAAACATATGTATATATTTTTTCTTAATCTCTCCCAAAAGTTCAAATAATTATTGTATTGTATTTGAACTTTAAGTGTGATTTTTTTTTTGGTTTTGTGTCTAGTTCTTATCTCTCTTAGGAATCTTTCATTGTAGTTTACAGTCGCCAAGTCTTAATTGGTGGCATATAGCTTGGTGATAGGAAGCGAAAAAAGCACTGATACGCTTAGGAATTGTATAATACCGGAGCTAAGAATACAAAATCCAACAATAACAACCATAATCAATTTTTTTAAATGATACGGATGCTGCTGATGATGATTCAATTTTCAGTTTCTTTTGCATTTTTTTCACTATTTATTGGCATACATTTGCCGCTATAGAACTTATTGTAATTCAACACTTTGCAAAGAAAGGTCGCGTGTTTATTCGCAAATCAATTGCGATTTATTTATGTTTTGTAGCGGGTAAGGCAAACAAAATAATTCTTAAAAAAAAAAATAAATTGTAAAAAAAATCCTTTCAAATATTTAAATAACAAGTTTTAAAAAAGTGAATTTAAAATGGCAGCGTTTGCCGAATCCTTGCTGATGGACAACAACACAACAATACTATGTATATTTCGTTGTTATATATAACAAAAGGATATCATTTCGAAAAGAAAATTATATAGTGATCTATGTTTGTGTTTTTAATAATAAAAAAAATGACACCAGCTGCCTAAAATAAATTATTAGCATTATTAGAAATTAAAAAAAAAATCGAAAATAACCTAAAAAAATCATTTCTACTTTAAACACCACAATCAATTGCATCGATTTTGAAGAGAAAATATTATAGCTGGAGATTTCTTCAGTTCTGTGACCTATAGTGAAATTAAGTGGAGAATATTTTTGCCATTAAAATCGTGTTCATAAATACAACTATTATGATAGATATCGGCAAAATTCGAAATTAACCTCAAAAAATAATTCCTTTTAAAGAAACTTCCATTATTACAGTGATTTTAAGGAGGAAATTCTATACCTAGGGACTTCTTTTGTTCTGTGACCTATAGTGAAATTAAGTGGAGAATATTTTCTGCATTGACATCAAGCTCCTAAAATAAAATATAATTGGTCAAATCGGCAAAAATTAAAATTAACATAAAATATCATTCATTTTTAACAATCCTCCAATTATTACAGTGATTTTAAAAGGGAAATACGTTAGTTGGAAGTTTCTTCCGTTCCGAGACCTATAGTGAAATTCTTTGCTGAAAATATTTGCCATTGGTATAATCCGCCTAAAATAAGTTATTACGGGAGAAATCGGCAAAATTCGAAATTAACCTCAAAAACCATTCCTAAATTAAAGCCTTATATTATAATTGTGGATTTGAAGGAAATATATTACAGCTAGAGATTTATTTTGTGCCCGGACCTACAGTGAAATTTAATGCAGAATTTTTTTGCCATTGACATTATAACCCTAAAATATACTATTATGGGGTAGATTGCTTCAAATCGAAATTAACCTCAAAAAATATTTTTTTCTTAATACAAAAATATATTTATAAGGAATTTATTATGTGTTCTCTTAATTTTTTTTTATAAAAATAAAATTATAAAAACTGTTTATTATTTTAATATTTAATTATTAAATCATTAATTTTCTATTTCTCATTACAGGTGACAAATCCAAACGTTTATCAACACAAACGACGAAATCTGAAGAAATTGTTGAAGCCATGAAGAAACTCGATGCTAAGCTAGTTGCCTATTTGGCTGGTGAAACTGAACTCACCTCTAAGATTTCCCCCACAAATTGTGAGGTTATGGACGACGATACTAATGTTAATCTCAATTTAAATAATGACGATGAACAACAACAATTGCAAAGTAATCACACTACCCGCTTGGACGATTTATCGCCCGCTACAAAATTGAACATTTTCAAAACCATTCATGGCATTAAACTCGAAATGGAAGCACTTACCCTGCAACCAGAGGGCACCAAATGCATGAATTTGATGGCAAGTGAAATTCGTCCGATTTTCACCGTTGAATGTCAGCTATCGAATGAATTGATAAAGAAAGTGCCACGCCATGACATGTTCCATATTATACAATTCGAATCGGAAAAATTCCAAAGTCTAACACAGTGTACACGTTTCGGCCAGAAGGATGAACGCGCCGTCAAATTGGATGTCGACGAGAATGGCAATGAGTTGAGTGAAATCAACTTGGGTCGCATCTATTTCACGGTGTGGTGGCGTGAACCCGGCACCTGCCTCAATGAAATGTTGGGCATGGGCACATTGGAAATATCCGATCTATATAATGCCTCACTGCTGGAACAGTGTAAACGCATTGAAATCCAACGTCGTGGTCGTCACTTGGCCTGTCTGTATTTTAAAATCACCCTACAGCGCCACGACAGCAACAGCAACAAGAATGGACTCAAGAAACTTAACGGATTTTTGCCCAAACAGACCAGTTTTGATAGTGGTGATGATGATGAGGAGGAGAAAACAACATCATATCCGGCTGATAAGCAAAATATGTCAACATCATCGGCAGCCAATGCTGCTCAGCAACAGAATCAAAATCAATTGAATTTGGCCGCTGATAAAAACGCCACAGAACAAGGTGATTATACTGATAAATTCTGGTTTGTAAAACACAGCAAAATACAATGACTAAGATTGTTGCAAGAAGAAGAGTATTATTCTAATAACAACAAAAACACCACTTTTATTATGTTGACAATGTTGACTGAAACTATGGGGGGACTCCCCCAACACGATATTGTAAAGGACATGGACAAGGATATTACAATACAAATTGTATTCCTAATAATATTCTCACAATGGTTTATGATTATATGTTTACAAATAAATATATTTGCGTTTGCAATTTTGTTGCAAACAATCGAACAAAATAATAACAATAACAACAATAACACAAACAAAACACAAAAAAAAAACTTTTTTGTTTTCTTATTTATTATTTTTTTTTACAAAAAAAAATAAGGATTTTATAGAGCTATATTAAAGGTAGGGATTTATTTTGCCTGGAGACTAATAGTAAAATTTTATGGAGAATAATTTCTCCATTGGCCTCAAGCCCCTAAAATTTGTTATTATGAGAGAAATTGACAAAATTTGAAATTAACGTTAAAAATCATTCCTTCTTAAAAACCAACCATTATTACAGTGATTTTAAGAGGAACTATTGTAGCTAGAGTTTTCCTTTGCACTGTTACTTATAGTGAAATTTAATGGGAAAAATTTTCTGCATTGACATCAAGCGTCTAAATTAGACTATTATGGGGTAGATTGGCAAAAATCGAAATTAACCTCAAAAATAATTCCTTCTTAAAAACCCTCCATTATTACAGTGATTTTAAAGAGGAAGTATTATAGCTAGAGATTTCTTTTGTTCTGTGACCTATAGTAAAATTTTATAACGTATATTTTCTCCATTGGCATCATGGCCCTAAAATGTACTAATATGGGCAAAATGGCCAAAATCGAAATTAACCTCAAAATCTGCTCTTTACTTTTCAAACAGCATATTGTTACATATTTTTAAGAGCGATATATTATAGCTACAATTTTCGTTCGTTCTGAGACCCATAGTGAAATTTAATGGAGAATATTTTTGCCATTGACATCATGGCCCTAAAATGTACTAATATATGCAAAATGGCCAAAATCGAAATTAACCTCAAAAATTATTCATTTTAAATAACTCTCCATTATTACACTGATTCTAAATAGGAAGTATTATAGCTAGAGATTTCTTTTGTTCTGCGACCTATAGTAAATTTTATAACGAATATTTTCTCCATTGGCATGGATGGTTAAAATCGAAATTAACCTCAAAAATCATTCCTTCCTAAAAACTCTCACATTGTAAAAAGATTTGGGACGTATTATAGCTAGAATTTTTTTGCTCTGAGACTTATAGTGAAATTTAATGGAGAACATATCCTACATTAACATCAAGCGCCTTAAATATACTATTATTATGGGTCAGATTGTCCAAAATCGAAATTAACCTCAAAAATCATTCCTTCCTACAAAGCCTCACATTGTAAGAAGAATTTTGGAGAACTTATTAAATCTAGAGATTTCTTTTGCTCTGGGACTTATAGTGAAATTTAATGGAGACTATTTTCGTCATTGGCAACAAGGCTCGAAAATGTACTATTATGGGCAGATTGGCCAAATTCGAAATTAACCTTACAAATTATGCCTTCATCTTCATTTTCACACAATTACAGTGATATTAAAGGGATGTGTTATAGATGCCGGTTTAGTTTTGTCTGTGACCTATACTGAAATTAAATGGAGAACAAATTCTCCATTGACAGCACAGACCTAAAATAAACTTTTATGGGGTATAGTTGGCAAATCTGAATTTAACTCATTAAAAGTCACATTATTGGAGGGATTTCCAGGGAATCTATCATGGTTACAGTTTTCATTTGTTCTGAGACCTATATTGAAATTTCATGAACAATATTTTCGCCATTGACATCATGGCCCAAAAATAATTTATTTATTTGTCTTTCCTTATTAAAACTCACATTGTGGGACAGATTTCAGGGGGATATATCATGGTTGCAGTTTTCATTTGTTCTGATACCACTAATTAAATTTAATGGAGAATATTTTTCCCATTGACATCAAGGCCCTAAAATAAATTATTATGGGTTAAACTGGAAAAAATTGATTTTAACCTCAAAATCTAGTCTTTCCTTATTAAAAATCACATTGTGGGATATATTTCAGGGGGATTTAACATGGTTTCAGTTTTCATTTGTTCCGAGACCTCTAATGAAATTTGATGTAGAATATTTTTGCCATAGACATCATGGCCCTAAAATACATCATTATAGGTTCGGCAGGCCCAATTTGAATTTAACCTCAAAAATGAGACTAACTTTTCCTTCGTCTTTAAAAATCTTTTATTTTTTGTATTGTAATTAATAATTTATTTATTAATAATATCTTTCAGGTCAAAACAACAACAATCTCCAGGTGGCCCAGACAAATTTCGATGATGAGACAACCAAAATACGTCTACTAAAAGGTTTGATCTATGCCAATGAGGCACGCAATTTGGAGTTGGAATTACAGCCACAAATGTTTTTAATATGTCGCCGTTTTTGGTTAGATGAACCGGTGGCGGCCAAGGCCGATGGTGGCAATAAATTTAATTATCAGGAGGTATGGATGGCATCATTTGCAATATTCTCTTTATAGATTTATTTTTAATAATATTTCCCCCTCCCTTTGTTTAGCAATTTTCCGTCATCAACGATGAGAAGTTCCTACAACGTGTCGACAAACAATATTTGCATTTGGAATTATGGCAACGTATGAGTTCGGACGATGGCAATGGTAATGCAGAAGAAAAATTGCAGCCAATTGGTATAGTACGCATCCCATTGCATCAGTTTTATATTGCATATCGGGATGCTGCCATAACCAATCATTTGTGTAAGGGGAAGGTATGTGGATATTTTTATATATATATATATTTTTTTGTTATTTGGAGAATAATTGAGGATCGTTTGTTTTTTAGCTTCCTGTAATCTCCATTGATGCCTGGGCGCCAATTTTAAACTGGCAAAGTGGCGGGAAAATTGGCGAACTTAAATGTCTGTTGGCTGTGGGTAGTGAGGAACAAATCAAAAATCTTAAGGATACCCGAGGTCTAACAATTACCTTTAATTCCGAAATGGCAACCAGTTTACAGGAGCGTAAACTTCTGCACAATTTAAAACCCTTACAAATGGCCAGTACTTCCAAGAATGTGTCAGCAACAGCCACAGCTAATAAAGCACAAATGAATCCAACTGGGAAATCCGCAGCCCCCAATATGACCCCTACATCGGCTTCTACAAAACTTAAAAAGACTTCCGATTTATTGGATATGTTAAATAAAGTCCTAATGACACCACCTCCAACCGCAACACAATTAGGTGGTCCAGCAGGCACTTCGTCGGAAATAATGGGGTCTGCTGCTAGCACCCCAACCACAACCACATCATCATCATTGAAACCCTTGCAACAATCTAATTTAAAACTTTTCAAATTTGCTTTGGAAATACAAAAGGCCATTGGTTTGCCGTTGAATCCCTCGGGTAAATCGAAAAAAGGCTCGAAGCAACGTAATGCCTCAAAGAAATTTCCACCCAATGAGGCACCAAATACCTATGTTACATTCCAAGCAGAATCGGCACCCTACCCGACATTTAAATCACACGAAGGTTTGGTCTATGCCACCAATATTATTGAGAAATCCTGTCAACCACAATGGCAGCAACGTTATCGTCTCTCGGTCACCATTGATTATCTATATAATGTAAGTTTTAATATATCTACAATTTCCGTTTATTCTGTGACACATAGTGAAATTTAATGGATAATATTTTTTCCATTGACATCGTGGCCCTAATATAAAGTTTTATGGGGTAAACTTGCCAAATTTGTATTTAACCTCAAAATCTAGTCACTCCTTATTAAAACTCTCAGTGTTGCATAGATTTCAAAGAGTTTATATTATTGCAATAGTTTTCGTTTGTTCTGAGACCCATAGTGAAATTTGATGGAGAATATTTTTGCCAGTGACATCACTCCCCTAAAATATACTGTTATGTGATAGACTGGCGAATTTTGGATTTAACCTCAAAATCTACGCTTTCCTTTTAAAAACTCACATGGTTGGAAAGATTTTAAGGGGATATATCATGGCTACAGTTTTCATTTGTTCGCAGACCTATAATGAAATTTGATGGAGAATATTTTTGCCATTGATATCAACCCCCTAAAATAAACTATTTTAGGGTAGATAGCAAAATTTGAATTTAACCTCAAAATCTATGCGTTCTTTACAAAAACTCACATTGTTGGTGAGATTTCAAGGGGATATATCATGACTACAGTTTTCATTTGTTCACAGACCTATATTGAAATTTGATGGAGAATATTTTTGCCATTGACATCAAGCCCATAAAATAAACTATTATGTGTCAAATTGATAAAATTCGAAATTAACCTCAAAATTTAGACTTACCCTATTAAAATTCAAATTGGTGCTACACTTTTCTTTTCTTCTGAGACACATAGTGAAATTTGATGACGAATATTTTTGCCATTGACATCATCCTAAAATATTTTTTTCTTACATATTTTTTCAAAATTTCCAGTCGTGATTTTTTATTAAATATTTTTTCAAAAGTCTCCAAAGTCGAGATTTTTTTCTCACATATTTTTTCAAAAGTCTCCAATGTCGAGATTTTTTATTAAATATTTTTTCAAAAGCCTCCAAGGGCTTGGCTTTATTAAAAATATTTTGGATTTCTTAAACATATTTTTCAAAAGTCTCCATTAAAAATAGTTTTTCAAAATTCTCCAAAGGCGTGGATTGCATTTTTAGAGAATATTTTTTTCAAAAGTCTCCAAGGGCTTGGCTTTATTAAAAATATTTTGGATTTCTTAGGTTTGGATTTCTTAAAAATATTTTTCAAAAGTCTCCAAAGTCGTGCCTTCATTAAAAATAGTTTTTCGAAAGTCTTCAAAGGCATGGATTGCATTTTTAGAGAATATTTTTTTTATATGCATGTCTTATTTGGAAAATATTTTTTAAGGGTCTCCAAAAGCTTTTCATGTCTCCAATTTTTTGTTAAAATTTTCAAAAAAATATTTTTTTAAATGTTTCCCTTTTTTAAAATTCCTTTCCAGGCCCAAAAACGTTTCATCTTAAAAGTATGGAAAAAATCCGCCCTAGACCTGGCCCAGGGACGTAATCAGCCAACACCCATTGAAGATGCCATTATCGGTTTTGCTGCCTTGGATTTGACCGTATTCACGAAGGGTTTACACATTGCCGGGCGTTTCAATATTGTGGATTTTAATGGTCGCATTAATGGTCAATTGGAGATACGTTGTCAGCCATTGGAAGATATACCAGCCGCAATGACCAGCCCATGTGGGCCAGCATTATCATCTCTACATGCCACCACAGCCGCCGGAAGTGGTGCTGCTGGCATACCCTCCTCCTCAACCTCTGTGGACTCGGTTATCGATCAATTTGAACAAACCTTAGATTTGGCCCATTTGAATTTGGGTCAGGCCATTAAACGTAAATTTACCGAATTAGAGGGTATATCGCAGAGGTTACGGGCCCGTTTGGGTGATGTTACCGGTACCGAAATACCATTGGAATTTAATGTCGAACAATTGGACGCATGGCAGCCATTATCATCCGATTTAAATGATAATGATTTGGATGAATTTGAAAGGGATCTCAATACACCACCACCGCCGTCGTCGTCGTCATTGGGGGTGGAGGATGAGAAACGTCAGGATGATGAGGGAGATGGGGAGAAAAATAAAAACTCCAATAAAGAACACACCACCGCCTCCGGTACCAAAATGAAACAAGGGACTTGTGAAAGCGCCAAAGATGGCCCCAGTGAATAGTGTTTGTGGTTAGGACAAACCTTCGTTGTCTGTCATTTTAAATATAATTACTATTATTGCACGTTTTTATTCCTTAGTTTGTATTCCTCCCTCGCATTTTCAATAACATCATTATGGTCTCTCCAGGCTGCTGCATGTTATTACAAACAAAATACCACATATTCATAGCATCTAAACAATAACAAGAATATTAGTTGTAGCAGTAGGTCCGTACGTTATGGTATTAATACCGCCACAGCTCCTAAGTTAAGTAGCACCAGCACCGATTACACCACAGCAGAGTTTCCTATATTGTTGTCATCATGACACCACGGAAAAGAGCAATCAGTCGAACTAAACCCGCAATAGGAGGAGACTCTATTTCAATTTCTGGGTTCCCAAATAAAAATGTACTTATTTTTATTTAATACATGCAATTATTTTTTTAGCACACATATACATGCATAACATATGTATGTATGTTTGTGTATTTTTCATAGTCAAAAAAAGGAATATAATTCGCCAGGGCAAAACCAACAAAAATTCTCTTAAGCAAAAAATGGAAAACGTGATTTGTTTTTATAAAACATTTATCAATTAATTTTTTTCTAGAACACAATCAATATATTTTAAGAAAAAAAATATATATATTTGGATTTATATACATACATATATTATTATTATTTTTAATTATAGTATTTATTTTAAAAGGAAAACAAAACCCTTGATACACTTTTATTAGCTAAGCTTTTTTTACAAAACAAAATATTATTTTTTTCATCATTTTGTTTTGTAGAATTATTTTTGTTAAGTATGTACTTAAACCAAACAACCACAACCACCATATATACAATTTATATATCACACATACACACTATATAGTCACTAGTATTATAACTTACTCTAATTATTATTATTACGATTATTATTATTATTATTAATTATTGTGAAGAACAACAACAATGAAGGCATATTGAATATGAAATGAACAAAAAATAAAATAAAATACAGAATATAACAAAAATGCTTGCTTGCACAGGCATGCAATGCAATTAAACATACAAAATATTGATGTTAAAATAACAAAAAAATATGAATTTCTTTCTGATGATGCAAATAAACATAAAAAAATTAAATAAAACAAAATCAAAGACAACAAGATAAAAACTTTTAATATAGGTGTTTTCAATACTTTATTTAATACACAAAGTCATAGTAGAAAAATTTGGGATAATTTTTAAGAGTATTTATTTTATATGGACCTTAAATTTTTTAAGCACCTTTAAAGGCGTAGATTTCTTTAAATATTTTTTTAAGGACCTCTAAAGACCTAAATTTTCTAAAAAAAAATTCTCAAAAGTCTCCACAGACTTTGATTTTTTAAAACATTTTTTTTTTCCTTTGAAATCTTTTTTCCTTAATACGTGGAGTTTTTTAAAATCATTTTCTAAGGGTCTCCAAAATATATTTTTAAACGTCTCCAAAGTTTTGAATTGTATTGAAAATATTTTTCAAATGTCTCAAAAGGCTTGATTTTATCGAAAAAAAAATATTTCTTCAAAAGTCTCCAAAGTTTTGAATTGTATTAAAAATATTTTTCAAATGTCTCCAAAGGCTTGATTTTATTGGGAAAAAAAATTTTTTCTTCAAAAGTCTCCACAGTCTTGGATTATTGAAAATATTTTTCAAATGTCTCCAAAGACTTGATTTTATTGAAAAAAATATTTCTTTAAAAGTCTCCAAAGTCTCGGATTTTTAAGGGTAATTTTATGAAAAAATACTTTTTCAAAAGTCTCCAAAGGCGTTATTTCATATTTTTTCAATGTCTCCAAAGACGTGGTTTTATCAAAAATATTTGTTCAACGGTCTCCAAAGGCGTGGTTTTATTTAAAAATATTTTTTTCAAATGTCTCCAAAGGCGTGGTTTTATTACAAATATGTTTTCAAAGGTATTCAAAGGCATGGTTTTATTAAAAATACATTATAAAGTGTCTCCAAAGGCGTGGTTTTATTTAAAAATACTTTTTGAAATGTCTCCAAAGGCGTGGTTTTATTTAAAAATACTTTTTCAAATGTCTCCAAAGGCGTGGTTTTATTTAAAAATACTTTTTCAAATGTCTCCAAAGGCGTGGTTTTATTTAAAAATACTTTTTCAAATGTCTCCAAAGGCGTGGTTTTATTTAAAAATACTTTTTCAAATGTCTCCAAAGGCGTGGTTTTATTTAAAAATACTTTTTCAAATGTCTCCAAAGGCGTGGTTTTATTTAAAAATACTTTTTCAAATGTCTCCAAAGGCGTGGTTTTATTTAAAAATACTTTTTCAAATGTCTCAGATTTCGTATTAAGAGAGGTATCCGAAGTTGCGGACCGATGGATCCCATATTTGTACTTGATCTAGAATTGATACAGATATATCGATGTGTAAAGTTTCGGACATTCACCTAATATTCGATTAAAAAATATTGACAGTTTGTGAGGAAGGTACCAGAAGCTGTGAACCAATGTGCCCCATCTTCCGACTTGATCTAGAGGGGAGGTACCTGAAGCTGTGAACCAATGGGTCGGACATGATCTAGGCTTGCTAAAGATAATGCGTGGTGCAAAATTTGGTTCAAATCGGACCTTCCATTCGCCTAATATTGAATTTATAAATATTGCAAATGTTGACCCACTGTGGGAGAGGTACCCGAAGATGTGAACCAATGTATCCCATCTTTGGACTTCATCTAGGCTTGGTAAAGATAATGGGTTGTGCAAAATTTGGTTCAAATCGGATATAAAATTAATTTTCAGCAAAATGTTGAACATTTTGTGTGGACGGTGGTAACAGAAGGAGTGGACCGATGGATCCCACGTCCTCGTAATTGATTTTAGTTTGAAAGAAATATTACGATTTTCAAAGTTTGAATGAAATCGGTTATTTCCTTCGAGAGTTATCGCACGCACCACATAATACTAAATTTCTTTTATATAACATAAATAAATCTGGGTATTGTCGACATGGAATAAAACTTTGGAATTTCCTCTAAGCATTGGTGCAACATCTATGAAAATCGGTTAAGTAGTTGCTGAGTTATTTGCATTTGAATGCAACCATCTTCCGAAATACACCCTACTGTTCGGTGCTGGGCACCTGTTAACTGAAAATGAAAAACCACACAAAAATGCCTTTTTATCAAGTGGCAATTTTTTCTTTTCATTATGGCGGGCTAATTTGTGTAGAGAATTATAGCATACTTTTAGGCTGAACAGATTCGTGACTATTGGCAACCGCCGCGCCATCTATTGATGTAATAGCGAACTGATTTGGCGAAAGTAAAAAAATATGGTTCTGGTTTTTGTCACATAACTTTTGAACTATTGGAGGTATTCAAATAAAATTGGTGTCATATGAAAGCTAAGAAGTCTAGCTATTCCGAAATTTATTCGTATTTTCACAGAACTAAACTATTGTATGAGAAAATATAGTTACAAAGTTATGTTTTAAAATTATCACATGAATTAAGTTGTTTAAATAAATTTTACCGATTGGGTAACGAAGACAATTATTTGCCCTTCACTATGATATCTTATTTGTGTTAATCGAGTAATTGGTTAAAAAGTTATAGCCAATATACGAAGACCCTACATACTGACTGCGTTCAGCCTAAAACTATGCTTTAATTTTCTTCCATTGATGCGGCAGACTGAATTGGCGAAAGTTGAAAAACTAGGGTCCTAGTTTTTGTGGCATAACTTTTGAACCACATGAGGTATTTGAATAAAATTGGTGTCATATGAATGCTAAGAAGTCCAGATATTTCGAAATCTATTTGAATTTTCAGAATTTCTATACATTTTATATGAAAAATTCCTTACAAAGTTATATTTTAAAATTATCACATGAACTAATTTTTTAAAATATAGTTTACCGATTCTATAACAAAGTCAAGAATTTGCCCTTCACTATAACACCTTATTTGTTTTAATCGAGCAATATGTTAAAAAGTTATAGCCAATATACGAAGGGCCTACATACTGTCAGCTTTCTGCCTAAAAGTATGCTATAATTTTATATTCAAATTAGCAGCCACTATGAAAAGGAAAAATTGTCATTTTTAAAAAGTGAATTTTTGTGTGATTTTTCATTTTCAGTTAACAGGTACCCAGCACCGAACAGTAGGGTTATTTCGGAGGATGGTTTCATTCAAAAGCAAATAACTCAGCAACTACTTAACCGATTTGCATAAATGTTGCACCATTGGTTAGAGGGAATTACATAGTTTTATTCCATATCGACAATACCCAGATAAAATTAGGTTATATAAGAGGAATTTAGCATTATGTGGTGCGCACGGTAACTCTTGAAGGAAATATCCGATTTCATCCAAACTTTGAGCATCGTAATAATACTTTCAAACTAAAATCAAGTAAAAGTCCAGGGACCCATCGCTCCACTCTTTCTGATACCTCCCGAGCAAAATGTTTGACATTTTGCTGAAAATTAATTTTATAATATCATTCTAACGGGTTATCCAATTTGTAGCAAATTTGGCACAACCCATTATCTTTATCAAGCCTTTACCTAGGCCAAAGATGGGACACATAGGTCCACTCTTTCGGTTACCCCTCCCACAAAAGTCAACATTTTCAGTATATATATATATATATATATATGCAAAGTCAGGCGAATGGAAGGTCCGATTTGAACCAAACTTTGCACAACCCATTATCTTTACCAAGCCTAGATCAAGTTCAAAGATGACACTTCCAATTTTTTTCAAAAATCTCTAATTAATAATTCACTTTGTTTTGTTGTTTTATGGGTTCGAGTGTTACACTCATTATTAATTTTTTTTATTACATATTTAGTTTAAATTTAAATTTTTTTAACAGCAGATTTTATTTTTCTTCACAGTTGTATGTGTGAATTTTCGAATTTTCATCATCATCACTCCTTCATTCTTTCATTGTTGGAAAAAGTTTTCAATTTCATTTAAATATTCTTCACTAAATACACCATACCACAGCGAACGTACCACCAAAACAATAAATAATAATTCACGTAAACGCAACCGCTTCCCTACCAAACGATGTGCCGGCCACCACCAACCCCAACGCGGACGTTGGCGTTTTTGTTGGCCGGCATTTGTGATCGACAACATCATCGTTTCATTGTCCTGGTGGCGTTTACGAATATCTTATGCAGCGAGTCGCTGTTCTTCGCGTGGTGTGATCGTCTTGGGTGGTGCTGGCTTTTCGAATTCATTCAGATCGGCATCGTAGTACAGGGCAGCACGGTATGGACGCAATTCCCATGGAACTTGATTTTCCATTGGTGTCAATTGAACACCCAAATCTTCCAATGTGGGTACATTGTTCAGGACACGATCGCTGACACACTCCAACTCCAAACGTTCGGGATGGAGATTGGCAATTGGGGCACCGGGGCTAATCATTTCGGTGAGTTTAGCCTTCAACACAAAGGAGGGATCGAAACGGGAATCGTAGCGCTTGTAGCCCCACCATTCGGAATCTTTGCGCATAATGCGATGGAACCAATCGACCAATTCGCTCAATTGATAACGTTTGGGTCTAAAAAAAGGAATTTTTTAGAATTATTTTTATTAAAATATCGCTTTTACATACCCCACAGCTTGATATACTTGGCCAGCAGTATCGGGATCCTTGGCACAGTTGAGAATGGCCTGGGCCACATCCGACACATAGACAGGTTGTTTGAAGGTGCGTTCACCCTTGTGCCACAATGGAACGGCACGCAATTGACGGCGCCAAATGTGGGCATAATAACGCAAGAAACGATCTTCCGAACCATAGATGTCGGAGGGTCTGATAATGGTGGCATCGGGGAATTCTTCACGTACGGCCTGTTCACCCCAGTATTTGCTGCGCAAGAAATTGCTGCCACCCTCAATGAGATAGCTGCGGGGATTGGGATCGGCATTCAGGGCCGATACATGAATCAAGCGATCAACGCCCATTTCACGGGAGATGCTAAAAAAACCAAAAGAGACCAAGAATTAGTAAACAACACCAAAAAGGGGACACCATTCCACATACCGTGCAATACGACGAGCACCCTCAACATGGACATCATTGAATTTAAAGTTCTTGGTTTCGTAATCACGTCCCACCAAATTTATGACCAAGTTGGAGTATTTCACAGCCTTGCGAATAGCCTCCTCATCTTCCAAATGATAGAATTGGAACAACACCTGGCCCAAATCACCGCAAACCTTAAGACGAATAGCCTCAGAATCTTCACCACGATATGGCAAAATCATTTGGGTACCGGATTTGCCCAACTTGTTGCACACATAGCGACCGAGGAAGCCGGTGCAACCGAATACTGTGGCAACAATACCATTGAAACTGCTGCGACCACCGGTACCGCGTTTCATCGCCGCCAAATTGGTGGTCTTGAGGGGACGTGGGGCATCACTGGAATAGTTAGCCGTACGCATACACAATACACCCAAAACACCAGTGGTGTGTTGTTCTACAAACAAAAAGGAGAAAGAGAGAATTACATTTATCCCGTCCAAATAGATTCCATATTTAGTGGTAATCGGGGCCTTTACGTTACATAATTTCGGTTTGCAAAATTTTCGCCTTTTTGGAAACCACTCAGGGGTAACTTTATGCCCTCGACTCCATTTTGTTTACTTACTTGCCAACTGGACATTCTTTGTTAGAATCAGCGCAGCCATTCTGTTTTCCTTGGATCGCTACGCCACCAAACTTTGTCAAGAATGTGGAATACCACCGTTCAACCTTAGGAAAATAATAAAAATCTCACGGCGATATCTTGTATTGGTGCTGACAGCAAATCGATAGCGCACAATCGATATTTTAACATACCGATTGTTATTCTATCGTTTATAAAATATATATTAAGGGACCATTACACGAGGGAACAGCTGTTTAAATAATATATGAAAAAATGAATTTTATTTTATATATTTAGAAACAAAAAGTTTCCGTAGTTAAAAATAGGCTTGCAGTATATATATGAAAAATTAATTTATATTTTTTGTGGAAGGTGTGGATTTATTAAAAAGGGTTTCTGAAGAATGAATTTATTAAATAATAGCATATGGCCGCAACTTTGTTAGCGAATGTAGGAAATATTTAAACATGTATTAACATACTATTTTATTTTCACAGAAAACTGCATATGTCAGAAAAAAATAATCCACACATTAATATCGACCATAAATTTAATTTGAGTACCAAATTTCATGATTCGAGCTCTAAAATTTCACCCAAAGCCAAATTTTACCAAATTTTTCATTTTGCACACATTAGTTCCGTTCCAGAACCTAAAATAATCTGCTAATTTTACAAGTTTTAAAACTTTTTACTTGAAAACCGTTCCTAAACCCACAAAACTAGTAAAGTGGGCCACACACGTCAATTTTAAAATTAAAATATTTTTTTTTTTGGGGCTCTCACGGGGTATATATTTCTTCATTTTAATTACTTGCCGTCTAACAGCAGCTTTAGTCCCTTCAATGACAAAGCGTGGTTTTATATTTGTCGGGATCGGGATCGGTGTTGAGAGTTTCTCTCTCTTGAGAGAGTAATTAGAGTTGCGCTATTTTTAATTTTGTAACAAGCGTACTTTTTGTTCACAAAAGGTACGAATTGACATAAACGTACCAAAACAAAAATTTGATTTTTTTATTATTCGTGAATACATTTACGCTTAAATTATAATATATGTTATTTATGCAAATAACTGGTATGAATATTGGCCAATATTTCTCGATAATTATGATTTATTATCATTTGAAGTAGAATTTTAGGTACCTCTTCGTACTTTTTTGTTCCTACCTGTGGTAAGGTTTTCCAACACAATTCACAATTTACCACTGTGTGAGAGAGAAACTCTCAACACCGATCCCGATCCCGACAAATATAAAACCACGCAAAGCTACCCTAAAAGCGTTACTAAGCAACGGCGTCATTGTTACAAACAACGACGCTGGCTTCATTTTCTGTCATTGCTTGGCGCACAAAGGCTCGTCGTTTATTTTCAAAAATTTGACAACAAGGCATCATCACCATGGCCAGCTGCTCGGAATTTGCGGATCCCTGTCTGGAGAGACATTTTGCTGGACATCGTAATACCATTACTCAAGTACGATTTAATCCCGAAGGCAACAAATTGGCAACGAGTTCCTTGGGTGAGTCAAAAAAAAAACTTTCCCACAATAAAATATTCCTCAACAACTCCTCTCTCTCTCTTCTGGTTGAAATATTTGTTTCCATAGATTCCTCGGTAATATTATGGGATTTAAAACAAGCCGCAAGATGCATACGCTTTGCTGCACACACCGAAAGTGTTTACGGCGTCAGTTGGTCACCACGCTCCAATTTGGTGGCCTCCTGTTCCAAAGACAAAACTGTTAAAATATGGGAACCCAAGCTGCGTGGTGTGTCGGGAGAATTTCTAGCCCATGGCAAACCAGTACGATCGGTAGATTTTGATCCAACGGGTACAATGGTGGTAACAGCATCCGATGATAAATCTCTCAAACTGTGGAAGGTGGTGCAACGAAAATTTCTACAATCATTTGCGCATCACACAAATTGGGTACGTTCGGCAAAATTTAGTCCCTGCGGACAAATGATTGCTTCATGCGGTGACGATAAGACATTGCGTATTTATGACATCAACTCCGGCCAGTGTATACGATGTTTTACCGAGGAAAGGGGTATGGGCCGGCAATTGGCATGGCATCCGGATGGAAATATGATTGCTGTGGGTATGACATGTAATCGGGTGAAAATATTCGATTTGGTTGCCCAACAATTGATACAATTGTATCAGGTGCACTCGGCCCCCGTTAATGATTTGGCTTTCCATCCAAATGGCAAATTTATGCTCACCTGTAGTGATGATGAAACAATGAAAATATTAGATTTGCTCGAAGGGCGACCGGTCTATACACTGACGGGGCATACAGGAAAAGTTACGGCGGTTGCCTTTAATCATGATGGTTCGAGGTTTGCTACCACCGGACAAGATAAACAGGTTGGTAACATTTTTAATGAGTTTTATCAATTTTTAATATATTTTATTTGTAGCTCCTCGTTTGGAAATCCAATCTACACACCTATGACATCGAATTGCATGCCGAAAAACTAAGCCGAGAATGTCAATTGAGTGAAAGCGGTGTGGAACCGCACACAACAATGTCTACAACAAATGCCACCAGTGATCAATCAATTCTCATTGATCCACGACAATCTATGGCCTATCGACATCATGATGAAAATTTCCAGGTGCTTGATTGTGAATATTCTGAAAATGACCACGAACAACACAATCACAACAGTGGTAGTACACCTACAAAATCAACATCCAACAACATTACTACACATTCCTCATCCACAGCCACAATGGATTCATATGGTCAGAACGGTTCTTCGCTATTACATCTACCTATGGCTGCACAATCAAAATCCAAGTCATTCAGTCCAAATAAAAACTATAGTCCACGTAAAAAAGATTTACCACATTATTCCTATGACAATAATAAATATTTATAAATCGAAATAATAGTTACCAAGGCTTATATATAGGCCTTGACAGGGACCATAGTTTTTAATTTTTCTATATGTATCTGTATTTGTATTTTTTGTAGTTTTAGAAACTTAAAAGGTTTTATTTATATATGACGTCCGGGTTTTGAATAAAACAAGCGATAATTTTGGAACTTAATTTATGGAAGATTTTTTTTTTGTTGAATCGACAGCATTTCTTGACGAGCTGCGATGTTAGCCTTTGTAGAAGAGCGAAAGGGATATTTTTAGGCTATGAAGGCTATATGTAACAGTTAACCCTATTAGAACCCGTAAAATTAAATTACAGTCGATTCGGTTGGACAACTTGTCCGAAATCCGCAATTTTGACCAGGTGTTATATGGGGGTTACACCTAAAGGTGGAACCATATTGATTATTTTTCGTATGGAGATTTTCTACCCTAGAAGAACCCATAATTTCAAATTACAGCCGATTCGGTTGGACAAATTGTCCGAAATCCGAAATTTTGGCCAGGTGTTATATGGGGGCTGCACCTAAAGGTGGATAAATATTGATAATTTTTGGTAAGGAGATTCTGTACCCTCTGAGAACCAAGAATATGAAATTGCAGCCGATTCGGTGAAAATTTTTGTCCAAAATTGAAAATTTTGGTCTGATGTTATATGGGCACTACACCTAAAAATGGATCGATATAGATAACTTTTGGTAAGGAGATATGCAACTGTATCAGAATCCAAAATATTACATTCACTTGGGTTGGAAAGTGTAGCCAAAATCCATTAAAATCCGAATTTTGAGATTATATTCTAATCGGGGCCTATATTTTAAAGTGGATCGATGTCGATGATTTTTGGTATGGTGGTTTTCTACCTAGTGAGAACGCAGAATGTCAAATTACAGCCGATTCGGTTCCAAAATGTGTCAGAAAACCGGAATTTTGGCCTGATGTAATATGGGGGGGCTACATCTAAATGTGGATCAATATTGATAATTTTTGGCAAGGAGATTCTCTACCCTAGGAAAACCCAGAATATCAAATTACAGCCAATTCGGTTCGAAAATGTATCCCATATCGGGAATTTTGATCTGACGTTATATAGGGGCTACACCTAAAGGTGGACCAATATTGATCATTTTTGGTAAGGAGATTCTCTACCCTCAGAGAACCCAAAATATCAAATTAAAGAAAATTTGTTCGGAAAATAAATCCAAAATTCTCAAAAATTCCGGCAATTTGGAGGTTATGTTATATGGGAGCCATACCTAAAGATGGACCAATATTGATTATATTTGGGTGTGTGATTTTCTACCCGATGACAACCCAAAATACAAAATTTCAGCCAATTCGAAAACTTTTCAAAAATCGAAAAATTGAGGATTTATGTTACATGTTGGGGGCTATACCTTAAGGTGGACCAATATACATTCTTGTTATGATATCTGCCCTATGCTAAACCAAAATATTAAATTACAGCCAATTTGATTGGAAATGTGACCAAAATTCTAAAAATACCAAAAATAGGAAGATATTTTTACATTAAGGTGGACCGAGATGGATACAATTTTTGGTTGGGGAAATTTTCTATCCAATGAGAACTCAAAATGAAATACATTTCTATTCATTTTTTCCATTAGTTAAATGATATGGCATGTTACCCTGTTTATGATCTGGATCCCCTAAGAGAATTGCAAGAGGACATGGCAAAAATATTACAAACCTTGAAAAACTTAGAACAGCGAGTCCAACATTTGGAACAATGTCTATTGGGGAAATGAGAAAAAAATACCCTGAAAAGCTATTAAATAAAAAAACAATATTTTTTCTTTAAGTTGAATTAAATTCACAAAAATTTGTATTTGATACTAATTTGACAAAGAATTGAATAAAATTTGAATATTTTATATTTTGAGAGCATTTTTTTTTTTTTTTTTTTTTTTTTTTGGAAAGCATCATTTTTGTTTCCGTTTTTAATAATTACTTGGTATTATTTTTTTTTTTAATTTTTGTAACATTGAAGAATTTGTTTAGTAAATATATATATTTAATATTTGTTTATGTGTATATATACTATAGATGTATATAGATTTTGTTTTTTTTTTTTATTAAATTGTATAATTTATTGATATTTAAATATAATAATTTTTATGTATATATATTCATAAGATTTAAGACCATACAAATTTTGGCATGAAAATTTGAAAATTGTTTTGTTTACTAAATATTATTTTTTTTTCTACTGTTTTGGAAAGGCAAGAAAAAATTAAACACTACCTGAAACGAATGTTGATAATTATATTTTGTATTAATTAATTTTCAATTTAATTGCAATAAATTTGTATGTAACACGAATGTGATGTTTTAATATTTTTTCTTCGTTAATTGGCATGAAAAATGCATTTGTATTCCCGAGGTGTATTGTTTTTTGTTCTTCATAAACCGTTTCTAAGACATGGTAAATTAAAAAACAAAATAAAAACTATAGATAAATAAAGTAAATTGCTTGTATTGTTGTTGTTGTTCCACATTCCAGCTGCAGCTTGTTTCGTTACTTTTCGCATTGTTGTTGTTGTCGTCTTCATTTGCAATTCTTCTTCTTCTTCACACCTCTAATTTTAATTTAGCTATACGTCGAAAACGACAAAACATTTCGTTTCATTCTTTCACCCCCACATATTGGGCCGGCTTGCCGGTCTTCTTGATAACTTCCAAAAGTTCCTCACCGGACATATTGGATGTAACGAGAACCGTTTTATCATCCAAATCAATGCTAACTTTTTCCACTTTGTCTGGCAAAAAAAAAAAAAAATAAGAACATATGATTACCGATTTATGATAAGATAAGGTAGCTGCTAGGTAGGTTGTAGTGAAAAAAATTCTGATAATACAAAAAAGTAGAGTAAGTTAGTATTATGCCTGATAAGAAATTGTGTAAAAATAGGAATAAAAACGCGTTCGTTCAATGACCGCTTGACAACATTTTAAAAGAAGTAAAAAATAGGTGTTAAGTTCGAACAGGCCGAACTGGGGCTATAACAAAAGCTGGGCCAATATTCATTATTTTTGGTAGGAAGCTTATCAACCTAATCAGAACCCATAATATCAAACTACAGCCAAGTTCGGTTTGAAAACGAGTCACCGATTCTTAAAAATCCGAATTTTGAGGTTACACTTACAAAGGGGGCTATATTCAAATATGGACAGATGTAGATGATTTTTGGCAAGAAGATTTTCTTTCTAATGAGAACCCATAACATCAAATTACAGCCGATTCGGTTCGAAAATGTGTCCGAAATCTGGAATTTTGGTCTGACGTTATATGGGGGCTACACCTAAAGGTGGACCCATATTGATTATTTTTTGTAAGGAGATTTTCTATCCTAGGAGAACCCATAATATCAAATTGCAGCCGATTCGCTTCGAAAATGTCGCCGAAATCCGGTATTTTGGGCTGACGTTATATGGGGGCTACCTCTAAATGTGGATCAATATTGATTATTTTTCATAACGAGATTTTCTACCCTAGAATATTAAATTAAAGCTGATTCGTTTCGAAAATGTTTTAGTAATCCGATCTGGCGTTATATGGGGGCTACATCTAAAGGTGGACCCATATTGATTATTTTTCGTAAGGAGATATACAGCTCAAATAGAATCCAAAATATGAAATCTCAGCCAGTTCGGTTGAAAAAGATGGCCAAAATCCTTTAAAAAACAAATTCTAAGGTTATATTCTAATGGGGGCCCATATTTAAAAGTAAATCGATGTAGATGATTTTTGATATGGTGGTTTTCTACGTAGTGAGAACCCTAAATATCAAATTACAGACGATTCTGTTGGAAATTTTGTCCAAAATTTCGAGCTGAGGTTATGGAGGCTGGCTATAATTAAAGGTGGACCAATATGGATTACTTATGGTAAGGTGATTTTCTACTCTGAGAACCCAGAATATCAAATTGCAGCTAATTCGCTTCGAAAATGTGTCCCAAAATCCTAAAAAAATCGAAAATTTGGGAGTACCCTTATAAGAGGAATTAACCTAAAGTTGCACCGATAAACATAACTTTTTGTAAGGAGTTTATCTACTCTAGAAGCTTCCAAAACATAAAATGACAGCCGACTCGGTTATCTACACTACAAGCCTCCAAAATATAAAATGAGCCGACTCGGTTGAAAAACTTGTCCAAAATCCGAAAGTTTGTGCGTAGGCTATATGGGGGCTATATCGAAAATTGGACCCATATTTATTATTTTTCGTAGGGAGATTTTCTACATAATTTCTACAAAAATATCATTATCCATTAGAATCCAAATTTCAACAAATTCGTTTAAAAACCTATTCAAAATCCATAAAAATGCCCAAAATTACGTTTTCCACTAATAAGGGCTATATTTAAAGTTGGGTCTATTTTGATTATTTTGGGTAGGACGACTTTCCAACAACATGGAAATGTATTACACATAATTTAGTTCAAAAATGGTCGAAAAACTGAAATCTGTTGGGGTACCATTATGTGGGGTATATAGATTTTTCGCATTTTAGGGTACCATACATTGCACTAGACATTCATTGGTGCTATTTTTTCTTATAAAAAAGTTTATAAAATCAGTGAAATTTCCTTTTTATCTCCCATTCATTTCCAAAAGAAACCCCAGAAACACTTTCATTTTCCAATATTATGACGTATTTTGTTTGGGTCCTCTCGCAACAAGCACACCTAACCTTTAATGCATCACTTATTATATACCTACATTACAAATTGTTTGCATATATATACACATATATATACTTACCACCCAATTTGCCCAATACCCTTTCCACAGCACCCGAACAACCGGAGCAGGTCATTTCAACTTTAAATTCATGGACCTAGACCAAAAAAAAAAAAGAGAAATAATTATGAAAAGATATATAGATATGTATGTAATATCCATTATTTGTTTATCAATCCAAAGAAAAGAAACCCCAACCTACCGTCATTTTGCTGGTAGCTGCTCTTGTACTAGTCGTCGACGACTCAGCGTTAGCAAAAAATTGCGGTAAATTCAACACTTTGAACGATTTTTTTGTTTACTGGTGGCCAGATAAAACAAAACGGCTTTTGTTTTTTGTTGTTGTATATGTGGGTTTATATTGTGTTGTTGTTGCTTATTATTTTTTCTTGCTTTGACGTAAACTTTTGTAATCACAATTAAAACTTGTTACTTTTCTTCTGGTACTTTTCGTTTTTTTTCTTTTTCTTTTGTGTTTTATTTTTTAATTAACAAACAGAGATGGGAAAAATCTATACAAATAGGTACGACTTTTGGCATGTCATTATCAATCAAATAGGGAGTTATAGGTCGTTAAGTGACTTATGGGATTAAAATGATTGAAAAGTGACATCAATTCATTTAAATGAAGAAGAAAGTTCTATTTTGGATGTAAAACGTGAAAAATCTCCAAATTAGGAGAGTTCCGTTTTTTGGAAGACGTGTCCAAAATCGGAAATCATTAAAAATAAAAACTATGCCATCTAAATCTACTTGATTTGTAAAATGAGGAATTTATCCTAAAAATTACCCTTCTACGATACCCATTCGATCTCAAATTCCCATATTTCATAACGTATTAAACTTGGCGTATGCACTATGAAATTGACATTTCAAATTGAGTGGATTTTGTAGTCTACAATTTATTGCCAATGTGACCAGTTCTATCAAATCAAATGAAAACCATTTTTTACGGCATTTTTCCGCATTGTACCAAAATTGTCATGGTATTCCCTACCCGATTGCAAGAAGAAATAATAACCCTTCTTTATTTTTTGCGTTTTTAATAAGGTGCTGAAAATTGTCAAACACAACAACCTGTTACGTATACTTATCGTTGGCAATCGTTGGTGAGATCACAAGCCACGTGTCGTCGAGATCAAGCGTCGTGGGGCGAGACGTGAATTTGCATTCGAAAGGCAGGTTCACCTCATCAAGGGCAAGATGAGATTCGTAAGGAAGTTCGAAAGAATTTATCCGCACGATCTCCATCGTGAGCTACAGATGGTGGGATCTCCATTCCGAATCTAATTTCTTGATTAAAAATTTCCAAGGAGACCTCTGAATCGAGTGAAGTAGTGGAATCGGCGACGCCCACTGTCTCTGACAAGGGTGCGAAACCTAACCCGAGTCAAAAGGCAAAGGAAAAGGCTACTGAAAACATCCAGACACAAACTGTCATCCATAAAGATGATCAACGTGTGCAGGGCTCTGTCTCAAAGCCCGATTTTACGCCTAGCAACAAAGGCGAAGCGGTTGGTGCTAAAGTTTTGAGTAGATTCACCAGTGGTCGGAATGGGAAGAAGAGCAAGAAGCCATTGTCTCCTGGGAGAGGAAATGCCGCACTGATTCAGCCCTTAATCATGATTCGATTTTATATGTAAATTCGCTTTAAAAGCGCCATAACTTAATCCTATGCTTTTTCATCACGCCTTTTATGACAATTAAAATATTCGGTTTTTATGAAAGTATTTTTTTTTTAATTTTAATAATTAAATTTTTTTATATACTTTTAAATACAGTATTTTGAATCGAATTTTGTTTAAAAATTTGTTTTATAAACAAAAATCATATGATTTTGCATTTAAACTGATTGGCCTTCACTCTATAAAACCCCTTCAATGTAAATGTAGCATAATAATCATATAGAGATAGGGATCTATAGGTTGATTTATGAACCAACGATATAACGAATGGAAAGTGTCATTATCGATATTGTTGCTATGTATTTAGCGATTACACTTAAAACAGCTGCCGTTAATAAAAATAGTATTTAATTAAAAATATTAAAAATAAAAACCTATACATTAAATAAAATAATTAATAAAAATAATAAAAAATGACTTTATTATTAGTTTAGTTGTTCTTTTATCTTTAAATTAGTTCATCGAAGTTTAAAAGATTTGAATAGAAAATCATTTGTAATTTATCATTTTTAATATTTATTAGTATATTTTAATTAAATTTCTTTGTGATTTTCTTATCTTTTTTAAGTTAAGGGCTCCGGTACACTATCTATTTTTTTATCAAACAAACACTCAATTTAATTAAATTTCAATTTTATTGTTTTAGTTTTCAAAACATGCTATGCATAATTTCATTTGACCACACCTGATAGTTTGCACATTGTTGTGGTCATCTTTATTCGGATGATATATATATATATATATATAAAGAAATTGATATATATATATACATATACATATCATATAAACAAATGCTTGTAATGAAACTTTATTACACAAACTGATAAGGCACTGCTAGATAATTGAAATGCACTTACATTGAAGAGTACATCCATCCCGCGGGGGGCGAGGATAAGGAATTTAAAGTAAATTGCAATTGAGAAACAAATACCACAACAGATTAAAGAAAGAACGAACAGCAAATGCAATATAAATATCGTTGATTGTTTTAATTATAAGCTAGTAGCCAGCTGAGAAAGTCGGAAAAGTGTAGCACGAAACGCTTAAAGAAAATAGGTAATAACAAAATAAAATTGTTTTATGCAATAAGAATAAAATAATTTTGTATTTTTTTTTTGGATATTAAATTTAAATAAATATATATTTTTTTAATTATTATTTTTTTAATTTTATTTCTTTAGCTTCCTTAATATTTAAACAAATCGTTTTTAATTCCTTTGGTAAATTTAATTTCTTGAGAAGAGTAAGTTTCCAGAACTCCTCTTTTTTATTAAATCTATTTAATAATAATAATTTGTTTCCGCAGATTTCCACTATGGTCACGGTTAAAATTGAAGATTTTGGTTCAATGACCGATCCAATGTCAAAACAACCGAAAACGGTCAAGGTCATTACCCTAGAGAATGCCCATCAAATGCGGGTCCAAGTTCTAACATTGGGTGTTAACATTGCCAGTGTTCGTCTACCCGATAAGACGGGGAAATCCGATGAATTGTCATTGAGTTTTGATAATTTACAAGGTTATTTGGATACCCAGCCGGCATATATTGGTGCCACCATGGGTCGGGTGGCCAATCGTGTGGCAAATGGCCGTTTCAAATTAAATGGCCAGGAAATTCAAGTTACCAAAAATTTCAAAGATAAATATCAGCTACATGGCGGATTCATTGGCTTCGATAGTGTCATTTGGGATGTGGTTGAGACACTGGCAAATGGTGTGGTACTGAAGCATGTCTCTCCAGATGGCCATGAGGGTTATCCGGGTGAGGTGACATGCACCATAACCTGCACTCTCAATGACAACAATGAATATCGCATGCAGGTGGAGGCAACCACCAACAAAACAACCTGTGTCAATGTCACCAATCATGCTTATTTCAATCTAGCTGGCCATAACTCAGGCAAAGAGGGTCTCGGTCAGCATCTTGTACAAATAAATGCCGATGAAATTGTTGACACCGATCTGGAACAAATACCAACGGGAAAATTTGTCAAAGTTGAAAATACCCTTTACGATTTGAGACAGCCAACGAAAATGTCCGATCGTCTACCACAATTTGCTCAATTACCCATTAAGGGTTATGACAATTGCTATTGTGTCAAGCTAGATGGTGATAAGGTTACACGTATTGCCCGCGTTGAACATCCAGAAAGTGGTCGTTGGTTGGAAATGTATACCAATCAACCGGGAGTACAATTTTATACATCAAATAATCTGCCCGATGTTGAGAATGGTGCCCCGGCAATGGTGGGTAAAGGCGGAGCAAAATACTTTAAACATGGTGCATTTTGTTTGGAAACCCAAAAATATCCCGACTCCATGAATCATGAGAATTTTCCAAGCATCTTTTTGAATCCGGGGGAGAAATACTATCATGATGTGGTCTATAAATTTGGTAATCAGTAAAGAAAATAGGCAAATTGATAAAACAAATAGTGGAATGGAATCTCAATTGAAAGAATATATAGAAAATATATGTATATGTATGTATAAAAAATAAAATAAATATATAGAAATATAAAAATTTAAAAAAAAAATGTTTAATTTATAAATGAAATAAGTAAGCAGTTTAGAAACAAGGCAATTTTTTTTCAATAAAAATAAAACACAATATTTTTCACTTTTTTGTAATCCTCTATATTTTACCATATATATATGTGTGTGTATGTATATATATTTACATTTTATAACTTTGAGTTATTAAATAAATATAACTATGAATATTTAAACATTGAGAGGGGAAGAAGAAGGATCTTCAAATGGAAATTGAAATATAAAATTTAAAATTTACGTTTCTATGTCCATTTTATTATCGTCATGATTATTATCAGCTGCTAATAAAAATCCACCTACGGTTAGCAAAAATTATTTGTTAAGATAAACCTAAACAAAGAATTATAAAAAAAATCGTGGTGAGGAGATAATAAAAGAAAGCAAACAAAATAATTAAATAATGAATTAATTTTTTTTTTCAAGCTGGTAGCTTGTAACAACAATCGTGATAATTGAATTGGGATATATAATATGTTTTTTTTTATTACAAATACAGTTTCAAACTAGTAGATTCATTATTTTTAATAAGGTTGCTAATTTTTTTTGCAAAATTTTTAACCAGTGACACAAATCTCAAAAAATTATTTCTAAAAACTATATCATTAATTTATATATGTGAATTTTTAATATTTATTAATATTGAATAAACGCACACCATGGAATTGTGGTAGTTTGGGCAATGTCACAATGACCAATGAAATAAAATTGGCAATAAAATGATCGGTATCATTGCGGGTATACAAACAGGTTAAAAGGAATCTGGAACACACAAAAATAAAATTTTTATTGAAAAATTAATTTTCATTTTTGGAAAAAATTGAATTGAAAAACAAACTTACAATAAAATTGGCATAGCTGTTAGGAATTTCCGGGTTGTGGTAAACTGTTCACCATCATCGATTTGTTCCCAATGGGTTAAACGGCCGCGTGAATCATTTTCAATGGAGAACCATGGGGCGCCCTTGATAATGTGCAAGAAATATAAATGGGCCTAAAAACAAAAAACAAATATGAAATTTTAAAATTAAAAAATAAAAAATATTTCTTCTCCTTACCGCATTGTGCAATAAATTGGTTATGGTCCATGCCAATGGTATGGATATAAACGGTATAGAAAGTAGAATTAAATGAGCCGATAGAACCCCTAATATATAGGCCAACCACATGCCTCGTGCCCCCAGCCATGAGGCATTGGGATTTGGTTCACCATGACCACCAGCAATAACAGTCATTTTTTGTTGTTGTTCAATTGCCTTCTTGACCAAGAGTTAAATTAAAATAAATATTTTTTTGAAAAAAATATCTATAGCTTGAATTTTTAGGTGAATTGAGGATTTTTTTTCTTCTTCTTTGTGGTAGGTATTTTTATTACTTATGCAAATGCATCGAGTAGATGCTTAAAAATCATTGTCTGCTTGCAGCTTAACAAAAGCTGTTAAACAAATTTGAAGCTGAAAGGAAAAAAAACAAATGGTATAAATCAAAAATTATTAAAAAAAGTATATGCTTCTCTAATAATTAACAGCCTGTTTTTGTAAAATTCCAAACGAACGAATTCGAGTGACTTACGACCAAACTCCTTGGCTTTGAAAAATATGTCATTTATTTTTGTTTCGAATCAGAAAACATTTATAAACATAAATAAAGGTTTGGTCGTAAGTCACTCGAATTCGTTCGTTTGGAATTTTACAAAAACAGGCTGTAAAAAAACCGATTTCACGAAACTTAACACATATCATTCTAGACCTACTTCATTACGCTGTGCCAAATTTCGGGCAAATCGAAAGATATATAGGGACTTTGGTGCACCATTTACATTAAATCGGACGTAAAATATATATGGGAGCTAAATCTAAATCTGAACCAATTTTCAGGAAACTTAACACACATCATTCTAGACTTAATTCATTACGCCTCATACATTGCTAGATCTGTGGATTGAGATCCTCATCTAGCTAGTTCGTCTACTTTTTCATTACCCAAGATGTCACGGTGTCCTGGTACCCAACACAGCCGATAGCTGTAAGTAAGGGGACGGCCTCAGATTTGATATAACAGGATTTGATGGATTTAAGAGCCGCTTAACTATCCAAGAATATAGTCACCGGTTCAACGACCTTTGCATCCAGACTTTTTATCAATTCCGCTGCCTTCGAAATCCAATCCAGCTTGTAGGTTAACTTAAGTCCTGGACTTTCACAGCAGACGCCCGCCCTGTACCTTATTCCGTCTTGGATCCATCTGTTTAGAAGGCCACACCTTTCAGAAGAGGTTTACTTCGGGTCCAGTCTCTACTAGGAATAACGATGTAGAAATCTTAGGACAGGTAATATATAGTCGCTTAGTTTTACGCCAATGTCATAACTGGCGCGTTATACGACCATGCCCAAAGGTACAACTTCGCCAGAGGTTTTGTTCAGGCAGCCTTAGGGCGCTACGTTCCAGAGGCCTCTGGCCCTCAAATTCAGCATTGCGTTCAGAGCTGCTTGTGGCTTACTCCTCCTGGCTCCTGTAACTAAAATCGAGGCGGCTCTTTGTACCTTATCTAATTTACGGGATGTCGATTTGTGGCGCAGACAGTTCCACCACACAAGAGAACCGACGTGTACTTTGCTCAAGTTCTTAACTTTGGACTTTTTTGAATTTTTTGAATTAAATTTGTTAACATCCCTATCACTTGGTGGCCATTTGATGGTAATATCCGTGATAACTCATTATTCCTTACAAATTCTTAAGCGATCCTGATTTTCTCCATTGTATTTTCATAATTTCATCAGGGAGGTCTGCCAAACATCATTGAACCTTTTGGATTTTGGACTGGTTGAGTTAGTTGGGAAATTCTTAACGAAATGCCGATTAAAAATAACATTAAAACAATAAAATGCAAATTTTTCTATTGCATACCATGATAAATCATGATTTATCCAATTCAATCCTTTTTTCATGTTATTAATTCCATAATTACATCTTCTACGCTTTTGAAATGACAAAAAAGTAGTTCCCTTTTTCCTTTGTTGTTATTATTATTGTTTTTCTTACATTACTCTTTCTCCGGTGACAGTTCCGAAAGAGAAATTCACAGAATGTTCTTCAGCGATAGAATATTTTATTATTCTTCTTTTTTCACTTTTAATAATGCTATCACTTTTCTATAACGAAAAAAATTGACTTTGCCTACGTGTTGTTGTTTTAAAGATAGAAGAAAATCAACAAATATTACAGGTGAAATAATAATAATAAATAAATAAAAACACAGACCTACCGTCACGAATACAAAAATACGACTGACACACAGTGATGTAAAATAACGTAACAAAGAGAGGGCACCTTTTATGACAACGCATGCCAAAGTGGCAAAACAACACAGAGAGAGGCAACATGAAGTTGCTGGTCATTAGCCGGGTTTAAATGAGATAAAAAGGAAAAATAAGATTAATATTTAATAAATAATACAAAAATAATTAATATTTATTATTTCTTTCTTTGTGTTTTTCCTCATTTCCCTCTAAAAGCAACGGCTTTGTCTGCCACATTACATTTCCGTTAACATGCATGCATTACTTTGATGCTTCTACTCTCTCTCTCTCTGTCATTGTAATTGTAATTGTCATAAAGAGCGGCACTGCTGGCTGATTCACACAAACAATAGAGAATTGTTATTTATCAATAAAAAGAAAATTGTGCATTACGCGTTAAAAACTAAAGAAAAAAGTAATTGTTTTAACAATAATTAATTATTATCTTTTATTTTCTAATTACCATTTACTAAAAACAACAAATTATATTAATTTTCTTAATAAAAAACAAAACAGCAAACAACTCCACTCTGGATGTGCCCTCTCAATCATAATTTTGTTTGATCTTGTTTTTTCTAACATTGCTTCATTAAATTTTCTTTGTGGATAAAAATTATTAAAAAAAATATAACAAAACGGATCCTACACAGAGTAGTGATAGTGTAGAGGTTGAGCCCGACGAAAGTACACCCCTTATGATGGATGGCCACGTCGGTGCCCCTCAAATAAGTTGCAATAATACCATAAGTGGTGGTGCCAGTCATGTGCGCCAGCAACGACGCAAGGTGGAACAATTAAATAATTATGGTACAACAGCGGATAGTAATAGAGATCAAACGGATGCGGTAAGTGGAGTTATATCTGAAAAATGTATTTTAATTAATTTTATTTTTGGTACAGGCCATATTAGATGTTCCCGGTGTGGAAATAAGAAGTCGTGGCGGCCATCGTAATGCTGGCGATGAAAACCCCAATGATGGTATACCCGGACCATCGGGTTCGCATCCACCAACTGTGGAAGAAGAGGAACAGGGTTTAAAATATGGAGCCCAACATGTCATTAAGATATTTGCTCCCGTTTCATTGTGCATGCTTGTGGTAGTGGCCACAATAAATTCCATTACATTTTACACCTACACGGATACATATTTGTAAGTTGGTCCCATGGCTAGCCAAGCCTTTCAGATCCCACCTAAACGATTTTGAGGGATAGTCTTTTATTAAAAACATAATCCATCCTATTTTTCTTTCTAGATTATATACTCCATTTCATGAACAATCCGAGGACAAGGGTACAAAACTATGGAATGCCTTGGCCAATTCACTGATATTGCTCTCTGTGGTTGTGGTAATGACCATTGTCTTAATTGTGCTCTATAAGAAACGTTGTTATCGAATTATCCATGGCTGGTTGATATTGTCCTCATTTATGCTATTGTTTATCTTTAGCTATTTGTATTTGGAGTAAGTGAATCCCTTTAAATTTATTTAAGAATGAAATTAAATTTTTAATTAATTATAGGGAACTACTACGAGCCTACAATGTGGCCATGGATTATCCAACGACTCTATTGATTTTATGGAATTTTGGTGTAATGGGCATGATTGCCATACACTGGCAGAGCCCCCTGAAACTTCAGCAGGCATATTTAATTTTTGTATCTGCTTTGATGGCTTTGGTATTTATTAAATATTTACCCGAATGGACAGCATGGGCGGTATTGGCGGCCATTTCAATATGGGGTAAGAATGAAATGCAAAGCAATTCACCACAGTTTTGTATGTGAAGTGCAGAAAGAATCTAGATAAACGTATAGCTACTTTTGAGGTTATGTTTGGAATCAGATCAGATTTTTCATATTTTTAAGTGGCATTTATTATCCAATTGTCCTAAAATTTGACAAGGCTTATTCATTTGACCCAATTACGAATTGAAATTGGTGAGAATATGCACAGATTTAGATATAGCTCCCATTCAAAACTTCTTCCGATTTTAGATAATTGTGGCAACAAAGGCCTATCGTTGGTTCGATTGTTATGAAATTTTGTATAGTATAAAGAAATGAAGGATGTGGATACAATTTGATCTAAATCGGTTCAAATTTAGATATAGCCCCCATATAAAATTTCTTCCGATTTCAAGAAAATAGTACACCAGAAACCTATCGCTTGTCCGATTGACACGAAATTTTGTATAGCATAATGAATTGAGATCAGAATATCGGGTGCTAAGTTTGATTTAAATCGGTCAAAATTTAGATATTGCTACCATGTAAAATTACGTTCGATTTTAAGAATTCTTGGGAAATGAAGTTTTAAACACCCTCCTTCTCTCCGAATGATACATAATTTTGCATAGTCTATCGATTTGATTCTCAAAAAACATCTGCCATGTTTGGTTGAGATCGGTTCAGATTTAATTATAGCTCCCCAATGAGGTGTAGGGGTCCCATCCGACTTTTTTCCTTTTTTTACTGATTTCGATTCTTGATTTGAAAATCTTCTTCTTTTTTTCCAGATTTAATTGCTGTGTTAACTCCAAAGGGCCCATTGCGTATTCTGGTCGAGACAGCCCAGGAAAGAAATGAACAAATTTTCCCGGCTTTAATTTATTCTTGTGAGTAAAACCCCTATTTATTTGCCATATATAAATAATATGTTTTTATTTTTTTTTTTTTTTTAGCTACAATTCTGTATACCTTCATGGGTACCACTGGAGGCCCGCAACGCAATAACTCCTCGGGTTCCAATTCACCCAACTCACCGCATACCTCTAATACCAGTTCAACATCTGTTTCAAGGCAAACAGGTAACACCGCAGCTGATCCAAATGCTGAAGGTATGCCTCTAGTGACATTTAAAATGCGCGGAAATGGTATTTATTGATTTTTTATAATTTTTTTTAATTTTCAATGTGAAAATGATTAGCTTTTGTTGTATGGTGGGGATCTATTTGGTAGATCGATGGTTAAGGGTTTAGAGGTAGTTGTGTCTTTTGTCCCAAAGTATTTATTTTTCCTGGTAGCGCGCATTCTAAAACCGTTTTTGTTGGCCATTTTTTTAATTCAAAATTTGTTTTTTCGGTTGAAAACAGAGGCAGCCGGTTTCACCGAGGAATGGTCCTCAAATCTGGATGAACGTGTTGCCAGACGCCAAATTGAGGTACAGGCCAGCACCTCGGATAGTGCCAATCGCTCAACAAATTATCGTACAGTTACCGCCCAGGAGGAAAGGCCACATTTGGGCAGTAATATGACAGAGGCCCAGGAGGAACGTAAGTGGAATTTATAAACCTATTTTTTTAATTTTTTAATTCATTTTTTTCTTTTCCTTTTGCAGGTGGCATAAAACTTGGCCTGGGAGATTTCATATTCTATTCGGTATTGGTGGGCAAGGCCTCATCCTATGGAGATTGGGCTACAACGATTGCCTGTTTTGTGGCCATATTGGTGGGCCTGTGCTTGACTCTGGTCCTCTTGGCTATATGGCGTAAGGCCCTACCGGCCTTACCCATTTCCATATTTTTTGGTTTATTCTTTTGCCTCATAACAAGCGTGATAGTCAAACCGTTTATGGAGGAGCTTTCCGATCAGCAGGTTTTCATATGAAAATGCCTTCGAAGGAATGCACACATACACACAAAAGACAAACTTAAACATGATATTTTTTTTAGTATTTTAAGTGGCAAAATAATTAATATTTTTTTTACATCTCATATATAAACTAAGTATCCCATGTACTGACTAATTTCCAACAAAAATTTGTATAACCCTATATATATGAAAAGTGAAATTGAAACTACTTTTGTTTTTTAAGTATAATAACATCATTTCAACATAAATGTTTAACATTTAATTCCAAAAAATTAAAAAAAAACAAAATTTCTTTCTTTCTCTTTAAACTTAACTATTTACACACTCGATTTATAACCTTTCGATTTTATGATACATTGATCCTTCAGGTTAATCACCCAACCCGGTTCCAAACCATAAAACAATTGTCGTGGATCCTTGCTGCTAGTTAACATTTCATATTGTGGATCATCTTCGATTTTCGGCAATTCATAACCATATTTTTGCGCCAATACCAAACGTTGCTTGCTAATTTCTTCAGGATCTGCTAAATAACCACGATTTTCCGCCGATGTATAATATGAAATTGCATCCTGTGGTGGCAACATACGTTTCGGTATGGGCACCCCCTTTTCTAACCATTTTTTGGGATTTTTAAGGGCATGCAAACTTTTGGGATCGTAGTAGGCGGTGCGTATAACACCCCCATTACGTTCAATCGCCGCTATAACCGATTCCTTGGCATGTTGTACTTCAATATTTATTTTAGCCTTAAATTTGTCGGCACCCTCATCGGTCAATTGGAAACCAAATTCTTTGGTCGCCGGATCAATGCTAAGCAAACCGGTATTGCACAAAGTGCTCAAATCAATTGGCTGCGATACATCAATGCGATCGGTATCGATCATTACTTGCAGCTGGAGCAATGAAATTGGTGGATACTGGCGACGCAAATGATGTCCCTTGTAATAGGGTTCATAGGGGAAACGCATATAGAAGGGGGTATTGCCTGTTTCATAACCAAGACGCATGAAATTTTGTCGTTGACCCGAGCCTTTGTTGCCGGCACCATGTTTGTCACCACCATGCTGTGCACGGCCACGTTTGTCCTACAAGAAATCACAATTCCGATAATTAATAATTCAATTTTTATATATAAAAATAATAATAAAAATATAGAGGCTCACAATGTGCCCCACTTACATTTTGTTTTGATTGTGGATTTGGACGTATATTACCGATTTGTACGCGCGGCAGGGTGCGTAACATTTTCAAAGCCTTATCGGCCGTCTCACGAAATTGGGACATTTTCGTTTTTATTTATTTTCTAAAAATTATTAATTAATTTATTTTATAATTTACTAATTTTTAATTAAAATGTCCACTATTTCATTGAGGTAATAAGAACACACACAGCCAGACAACGGAGTGGAACAATTTTTTTCGCCGGCGACGCCGTTAGTAACCACACACTCCGTTTTGCACCGTTTAAGAGTAGGCTTTCTTAGGTCGACTTTTGGCTAATCGATTTAAACGTTGACTAATCGACTCAAGGAAAAAAGCTGTTACAGGGCTGGGCAATTAATGGATAATTTGAAAAAGAAAATGAAGATAGTTATGCAAATAAAGGGAGAAACACATACGAGGTTTCAGACTTGGTCTGTTAGTTAGAGTCCAACATAATTTTGGATGCCGTTTTCCTTTATTTTTTTTATAATAAAAGAACCAAAGTGACATGCCAATCATCACGCCTCTTATGTGTTTCCACCCAAGGGCCTATCTTTGGACTTGATCTAGGCTTAGTAAGGATAATAGATTGGGCAAAGTTTGGTTCAAATCGGATAGTCTGTACGCATAATATTATAGTACGTTTACATTTAACCGGATTTCGTTAACCCAGTGGGTTTCAATTGTCAATTCCTTTGCATATATTTCAAATAAATCCTCATAATGTAGGTTAACCCGGTAAAATTTTCTAATGTATAAGCCGTTTTATAAAATTAATTTTTAACACAATTTTGACCATGGGGTCTAAAACCAATATTTCGACGCCTCTTATGTGTTTCCCCCCAAGGGCCTATCTTTGGACTTGATCTAGGCTTAGTAAGGATAATAGATTGGGCAAAGTTTGGTTCAAATCGGATAGTCTGTACGCATAATATTATAGTACGTTTACATTTAACCGGATTTCGTTAACCCAGTGGGTTTCAATTGTCAATTCCTTTGCATATATTTCAAATAAATCCTCATAAAGTAGGTTAACCCGGTAAAATTTTCTAATGTATAAGCCGTTTTATAAAATTAATTTTTAACACAATTTTGACCATGGGGTCTAAAACCAATATTTCGATTAGGCACATTTTCACCGTATCAAAGTGTATTGATTGATCTACTCCTTCTGGTACCTCCCCCACAAATGGTTAAAAATTTCAATATTTGTAAATCCAATATCTGGGGAATGGATTCTAGGATATGAATCAAACTTTTCACAACCCATTATCTTTGGGAAGTCTAGATTTAGTTCGAAGATGGGACCCATTGGTTCACTCCATTTGGAACTTCTCCCACAAATGGTCAAAATTGTCAATATTTATAAGTGCAATATCTTTACCAACTCTAGATCATCTGGGAGGAACTCTCTCTCTCGTTTTTAGACTACTAAATCCACTCGATATCAGTTCACAAATCCAGTGGATTATATTTGACTTATACGCTATAGAATTGCCATTTGAGATCGAGTGGATTTCGTAAATCTAAACGTAGTCTTAGGTTATCGGACTGTTTCAGAATCTGCAGGAATGTACAAATTTTTAATTTATTTGTCGTTCTCTCCAATTTGTTCCCATAGGATCTGTTCCCGTACTGCAAGATTCAAATTAAATTTTCAATTTCAAATTTAACTATTTTTTTTAATATCATAATGAAAAATTGTTATTATGGTAAAAAGTAATAGATTCTTGCTGTCGGAAAAAGACCAATATATAGCATGTGGAACGTTTTTAAATTCGGTAGGCTCTTTTGGCTTAAGTACGGCGCGAAAAATTTCGCACACGAATTTATGGATTGCAATTAATAAATAAATAAATATATATTCAAAAATTGTATGTTCAACATGTTTTTTCTTTCATTCTATTCATTCTCTTCTGTTTACCCCTATTCATGACGTGTGGAACGTTTTTAAATTTTGTAGGCTAAAGTGTTTGGCTTAAGTACGGCTTGTAAAAGAAGTTTTGATTGATTTTGATTTACACCACACACAACAACTGTGATTGAAATTGTATTAATTATTGTATTAAACAAATAAGTACATGACCATTTTATAATAAAAATCCTTTCAAAATGGTTTGTTCGGCTTGTAAGAAAAGCACAGCGACGGATTGCTTCATTGATGCTTTGGAAGTTATTAAACAACATTATATGTGTATGTATAATTATGCGCGGCATATATAAACAAAAATAATGATTACAACAGCAATAATATGTAATTATAATTGTATATACTTTTCAGTTTATAAAACTGCCCTAAGTAGCCGCGATGCTGAACTACAAAGTTTCAAGGAACGCAATGAAAAACTGAATAAAGCCTTAGAGTTTTTGCAACAACAACAGCAACCACACAAAAAATATAAACATGATAAATCAGAACTTGAGGAACAACAAGGGAGTGGGAGATGCAATGCCAGTGACAACAGTCTTGCCTTAACCGATATCAGTCTAACCGATGATGATGGTGGCGGTGATTCGCTTAATAGTGTCTCCAATCTCAATATGGCATTGAATAGTGAACAATTATTTGAAACATCAGTAATTAGTCCAGCTAAGCCACCCGAACCAATGCAAACATCATCGGAAATAATAACCAGCCCCAGAGCTAAACTGGTGTCACGTCGTAATCGACAAAAAGAAAATATGAAAAATGAAAGGCAAATGAATGCTGCATCGGTTTTGGAAAAATCCAAATCAGAATTCCAGCCAAAATTGGAGCAACAATCAAATCAGGCCAATAAATCTTGGGCAATGGCATTCCTAAAGCCATCAGCAAGTATGGTGCCATCTGCCGCTAAGGTGGCAGATAGTAAAGTTGGTATTAATCGCAAACCGGATAAACGATTCAATTTGTCATTGAAGAAAACAAATCCCAGTAAGGTGCGACAAACTGTGCTGCCGTTTAATACCTCCAAGGATTCCAGTGTGATAGAGGTAAGAATGGATTTTTTTTTAAATCAAATAAAAATGTAGTATTTATAGATGTGCGGAAGGCAGTCTTTAGAGTCAAGCAGATTGCTAAGGGAGGGAAAAGGAATTTTTATAGACGAGACGAATAGTGTATTAAAAAGACGAGAGGGAGCTGAAATGAGCATTTAGAGACGAGCGAAAGGGAATCTTTAAAGACGAACTGAAGACACCCTTTATAGGCTTTTTAGGCGAGCTGAAGAGTGCATTTTTAGAAGTGTTGAAGGGACCTTTTTTAGGCGAGCAGAAGGGAAGCCTTTTAGGCGAATTGAAGAGAGTTTTTATAAATGATTAGGAGGGAATCTTTATAGACGAGCTGAAGGGAGCTGAAGGCGGGCAGAATTATTTCCCATAGCCAAATTTAATTTTCTTTTTATTTTATCCCCTCTTTTCAGTCAGATGTCTGTGATGATGTTATTGATGCCAGTCCGATTGCCACAAAATCATCTCGTGCCGGCAAGTCATGGGCTCATAGGTAATTTCCAAACAAAACACATTTTTCCAAGAATTTAAAACTAATCTCCAATTTTGCCAAGATTACAGAAGCCAACAAAATCAAAGTTCACACAACACATCCAGTCCGACACACAGCAACAACAGCAGCAAAAAACTCGATATAAAACTGGAGGACGAAGACAAAAACAACAACAAGAATTCGAAACCTAATGAAACACTTGATAGTATGCCAATTGAAAATATCATTTTCGATTTTTCTCCAAGTAAAAAAACTGAGGAACCAACCACTACATCCTCAACGGCTGCGTCATCCTCACAAAACAAATTGAAAGGAAAACAATTGGAATTCCATGACAATACCATTGATATAATGCCACCTCATAACGATGATGATCAAACAACAATGATGATAAGTGGCAAATCGGCTGATAGTTCCAGTGTGGTTATACTGACCCCAGCCACACAAGATATTATCTTTCTGGATGATACGAGTAATGAGTTTAGTGATATTAATACCATGGATCTGCTGGCAGATGTACAAAAACAAGAAACAGAATATTTGGAAAATCTCAAGAGATATGAAAGTAAAAGGTAATTTAATATTTAAAGTTGTATTGAAAATAAATTTTATTTTCTATTTTTGTAGCATTGAAAAACAGCTAAGACAGGAGGTCAAACAACAACCCCTAAAATCCAAAGAAGAGAAAAAACACAACTTCATCAAACCCGCTGCTTTGATAAAAAAGGAAAAAGAATCTCAAAATTTAATGGAAACTAAAATGAAAACTGTATTGGAAAATGATTTAAAGGCTTGCAGTTCTTCCTATTCTTCTTCGAAAAAACCAATATGCCAAAATCCCCTACTGGCTAATGACGATGATGAGGAGGAATACGAAGAAGAAGAGGAGGATGCCATGCCCAAACCCATTATTGTCAAACGGGAACCCTTGGAGAAAAATGTAATGCATAATAAAAAATTAAGCCTAAAGGAGAGATTTAATATAGACTGTGAAGAATGTGAAAAGGTAAGTTATTTTTTTCATATTTTAATTTTTAATGAAATGTTGTATTTGTTTTTGTTATTCCCAGCTTTTACGTCTTTTGCCAAATACATTAAGTGATCGTGAAATCGAAATGCATTTACAAAAATGTAAATTTCATAATCGTCAAGATTTTATGCGTCAAAATACCCCCGAAAATTTCTGGAATCCTTTTATTCTGTCATTCGATGAAAACGATCCCAGAAACGAAATATTAATCGATACACGTTTTAAGGATAAGAAGGGACACTGAGTCCGCACTATGATATGTGATAAGATACAGTAATTATTTGTGCATTTGTTTTCCAACGATTATATTATTAAATAAATTTTATATATAAAAGTATTTGTTGAATGTTCACATTGTTGTTATTTGGGAGGGTGAGTTTTCTTTGGACTGAAAGAACGATTAAAGGGAAGTGATTATGGGTTAGCCGAAGGCAGGCTTCATGACGAGCTGTCGGGAGTCTTTATAAACGAGCTTCTAATCGGTTCCGTTTTAGCTATAGCTTTCATATATAATTTCGATTGACATGACATTTTATACAGAGGGTTGAACTATGTCTAGAATAAAGTGTTGCAACTTTGGTTTTAATCGGTTCAGATTTAGCTATAGCGTTCATATATAATTTCGTCCCGGGGCTAAAACGGATTTGCTCTCCATTCTAATAAACCCTGGAAACCGTATTGTATTTAATTCAACATTGTTGTTGTAATGTAATTTATATTTTTGTTATTCAATATTTTTTTTTCTAAACTACAAATTAAAATTAAAAGAAAACACTACACATAAAATGGAGAAGAAGAAACAATTTACAAATTGCCACGTCTCTCCTGTTCAATTTCAATGGCGGTAAAGAGGGATTTGAAATTGCCGGCACCAAAACCCTGCAAATAAAGAAAAAACAGAATTAGTTAGAAGAACTTCGTCAGATTTTAAGATTAAAGTTCACTCCCGATTATTTTGGAACTCAATTATTTGAACTCTTGATTGTTTACGGACTTTTCCGATCTCTATGAATCTATAAATTGATTTTATTTTGATTTACTCCGGAGATTTTGAAATTATCAATTCTTTGAGTTTTAAATTATCGGGAGCAGACGTTAAATAAGAAGCCACTTACATTATGATTATGACGCTGGATAACCTCCAAGAACAACGTGGGACGATCTTGCATATTCTTGGTGAAGATTTGCAACAAATAACCATTTTCATCGTAATCGATGAGAATATTCAATTTCTTCAACACCTCCATATCTTCCTTGATCTTCGTACGGCTGTGTTTCAAATTTTCAGTTAAAATGTCATAATACGATGAGGGGATGGTCAAGAATTCCATGCCACGGGCACGCAAATTTTGTATAGCCGAAATAATATCACTGGTATTCAGGGCAATGTGTTGGACCCCAGCTCCACCATAATATTCAACATATTCTTGAATTTGAGATTTCTTTTTACCCTTGGCCGGTTCGTTAATGGGCATTTTCACTGTCTCCTCATAATTGGCCATGACAATGGAACGCAAGGCGGAATATTCAGTGTGGATTTGTGAATCATCTACCGACCAGAAACGATGGAATTGCAAGACACGTTCATACCAGGCGGCAACAGGTTCCATTTCCAAATCGGGTTGATTGCCGACAACGTGATCGATGAAATCCAATTTGGCTGGGGGTAACAGTTTCAGCAAAGGATCTTCGGCGGGAGCTTTAAAGCCGGGCAGGAAGACACCTTTATAGTTGCGGCGATCAACAAAGGTGTGGGTAGTGTCACCGTACTAAAAACACAACAAGAAAAACCCATAGATTTATAAAAAAGTCCTCCATTTTTTTTCTATGTCATCATCATCCAACTTACCGTCTTAATTGTGGCAAACTTCACTGTACCAAATTCATCTGATTCTTCCCACAGCTCACGCACCACCTCAGCTCCCCGCTCCTTGGCCAAATTGAAAATTGCCTCAATATCTTCAACTTCGAAAGCAACATCCTTAACACCATCACCATGACGCATCAAATGCAGACCATGTTCTTCATCATCCGTCTCATACGATGATACAAAAACAAAAACAATTTTATTTTGTTTCACCGCGTGTTTGGCATAACGACGACTGCCAGTTTCCAAACCCTGATAGCCGAGAGGAGTGAAACCCATACGGGTGGTATAATAGCTGGCGGCCTGTTTGGCATTACCCACATAGAAGGTTAAATGATCGAAGGATAGGAATTTACCAAATTCGGGTTTGGGTCCTTTGTCGGTGTAGGAAGTCTGTGAAAGAGGTAATTGAGGTTAAGTAAAAAAAAAATTGGAAAGTTAAACTATCTGTTGGGAGTGATATATTTTTTGGACTGAAGGAAGTTTTCATAAACAAAGGGGAGTCTTTAGTGATGACCTGAAGGAAGTCTTCATAGAAGATCACATGTGGGCATTTATAGACAAGCAGATAAATGTCTTTATAGACGAGCGAATTGGAATCTTTATAGACAGGAGGATGGGAGTCTTTATAAACGAAAGGAAGAGAAGCTTTATAGGCGATCGGAAAGGAGTCTTTATTAACGGACCGAAGGAAGGCTTTATATACGATGGAAGGGGAACTTTATAGACGACCCAAAAAGAGTCTTTATTGACGAGCGGATGGGAGTCTTTATAGATAAGCGGATGGGTGTATTTATAGACGAAAGGAAGATAGGCTTTATAGTCGATCGGAAAGGAGTCTTTATAGACGAGCCGAAAAAAGCCTTATAGACGAGCTGATGGGAATCCTTATAAACAAGCGGATGGAAGGTTTTATATACGATTGGAAGGGAGTCTTTATATACGAGCCGAGAATAGTCGTTGCAGACGATCGAAAAGTAGTCTTTATAGATGAGCTGAAGGGATTCAGATATCATGAGAGTGCTCAATCAAAATAAGCTACGTATATCGGATCGACATGAAATTTGACACAGGCTATTTTACTATAGCCTCCACATGTTATTTGTCCGATTTCACGAAGAGGCCTGCCAAAATAGGTTAGATTTGTCGGATCGACATGAAATTTGATACAGGAGACCGTATTGAGTGTAGAATAACGTGTGTCAAGTTGGATTTTAATCGATTTAGGTTTAGTTATGGCTTTTATGTAAATTATTATCCGATTTGAAGTAAATGTTGCTTCCAAAGATGATATGTTTGTCCGATTTTGCGCAGGTGTTCTACTTCAGCCATGAATGATGTGTGATAGGTTTGGTTTAAATTAATTAATTGATTCCCCAACGATGCTAGGTTTCATCGATCAACTGATAGAGGGTTAAGATAAATATTATATAACAGCATGGGTTCTTGGGCAAGGGGAATGGGTAAAAATCATATTTTGTATATAGGAAGCTCTCTTTTTATTTCAAATATTGAAAATTGTTTTTATTTGATTCTCTTATTGGATTTTCTTCACTTTGTTAAACACATTTCATTTCATATCCTTTTTTAACGGTTCATAATTTTTATATCTGGAAACTTCTTAGGGGTTTTTTCAAATATCTCTTGTACAACACCATTGACACATGTCCACATCGATTGACATACCATAATAACTTTGTTGGTTTTGAAAAGATTTCACCGAAATAAAAAAACGAGAAAAATAACAAAACACTTAAACCACTTCGGAGGGCCACGGATTAAAGACTAACTTAAACGGCATGGTCTCCAGCAAGCTTTATATAGCTTCTGGTAAAAAAATCCAATTGAAAACGGTGGCGCTTAATAAGATACAAAACTCAAATAATAACAACCAACAACAAGAATTTTAAAACCCGCGTTGTCAGGTGGAGAGGAAAAAAATCCTGTCCCCCAACAAAAACAAACACACACATGTCACTCACAGCATCTGTATGTTCGAGATGTTTGTTAAAATATCGAATTTGAATATTTATATTTTTTATTATTTTTTTCGAATTGATTTGATTTTATTTATATTTTTTTATAGCTTGAAATAGTGAAACAAGTATTTTGTTTTTCTCGTCGCTGGCTGTAATGTAGTTGTTCTTGTTATAGATTTGAATTTTGTTTTTAATTTCATTTCTTTCATGATTATTATGCATAAATTAAGAACAGATATCGAAATCAGTTTTGAAACTCAGTGGTAAACAAAATGAAAACTGGAGTGCCGGTAACACTGTGTGTGTGATCTATAAAATTTATAACAACATTGTTGTTTTTGTTGCATTAAAAAAATACCGGCTTGTTAAATAAATGGACCGGTGCAAATAACTTTTCGTTTTGGAGGCTTGTCATGATGATGAAGAAAAAAGAAATGAAATAAAAATTTCAATCGACGTTTTTATTATTTAGTTTTGTATACTTAGGGAATAATAATGTAACTATTTGCATATATTTACTATCCTAAAATCTAAAATTCGGGCCCTACTTCGCAAAATGTTCGAAATAAACAAGAAATTTATTTTTTCTTTATCCAGGATTTATGGTGATATTTAATAGATAAATATTATGTATACCAATTTCTTGTGTTCGGGGACCTATAGTGAAATTTGGTGGAGAATATTATTCCGTTGACAATATTCTTCAAAAACCTCGAATTCAGGGTGAATTTGGTCTTTGTTTCGAAATATCACAAAACGTAACTTCTTTTTTATATGTCAATATTTAACTTAAATGTTTTTATAATAAATATTATATATACCGATTTTTTGTGTTCGGTGACCTATAATGAAATTCGATGCAGAATATTTTATACATTAGCAATATTGTCCTAAAACTTAGTATTCAGGACGAATTTGGGCTTCCTTTCGAAATAGTTTAAAAATATCACACAACGTAATTTATTTTTATATGTCAATATTTAAATTATTTTTTATATATAAATATTATATCTACCGATTTCTTGTGTTCGGTGACCTATAATGAAATTCGATGCAGAATATTTTATCCATTAGCAATATTCTCCTAAAACCTAGTATTCATGGAGAATTTGTCCCTCTTCCTGGAAAGGTATAATAATAAGCTAATGTTATTAATGTCGATATTTAAGGTGGTATTTTATACACAAATATTATATATTCCAATTTCTCGTGTTCAGTGACCTATAGTGAAATTTGATACAGAATATTTTTTCTATTGGGACTAACCTTCTAACATCAATTATTAAGAGAGAATTCGGCCTTTATTGATATCATGATTGAACCTAACCTAAATATGTTTTTCTCTTTTTATGCAAATTTTAAAATCGATATTTCTTCGATTAATGTTGTTTATATCGA